CTGATAATAATGCACTGACAGAAACCCGTGTGGCTGATGGGTGATGTAAAACATTCTTAATTCTTATTTTTATATGTGGAGAGACAAATATAGTTAGGAAGCGTTAATTATTCAGCTATGAGAATTACCAAAAAAGGAATTTCGTGGTAATTTTTTTGTTCTTCGTAAATTTGGTTATCTTAAGATTTTCTCTTGACCAGGAAGAAAAATATATCAACTGCTTGTGGGCAGCTGACGGAAACGGATTGATGGAGTAGAATTATTGCTGCACAGGAAACTAACAATAATAAGAATAAAAACTGGTAGGACCAGCTGGAGGACTTAGGGGGCCTTGAGATTGCTTAACAGCGATATGGAGTAAGGAGGAAAAATATAATCTGCAGTGACTCACCCACAGCTTCTTTAAAATGACCGTGGTTCGTGGCCGAACGGTTGCGCGGTCTCCGCTTGTTGCAGAGGTTCATTTTTGAAATCCAGCGGCCGTCCTGGTTAGCACGGTTGGCTATGTACGGTGCGAAAGAAGTTCAACATACTGTACATTATATTCTTGGTTCTTTCTGTAAAGTCACGTAGAAGGGAAATAATAAAATAATAGAAATATTAAACAATAAAAATACAATACTGTACATTACCGTGGGTGTCCTTTGCAGTGGACGTTAAAGGTCCCGAGATATAATTCACAAATGTAAGCCATCGGGTGCCATGGTTCAAATGTGATAATTTACCTGTGAATTGGCTCTGTTGGAATATAGTGCCGCACTTACCATTAATTGCCACCTACTCTAGAAACGTGGCAGGACCCTCCTAAAAAGAGTCATGAGATTCAGTGAAGCTTTCTCAGATAAATATGTGTAATAATGATAATATATTACTGGAATAAACAGGGCCCTGTAGTTTAGACTGAGTGTTTTTGCCGATAATTTTTGCTCACCCAGCAAAAATTTGCTTTGTAAAGCCAAGAAATGTGTTTAACCAAGTTAAAAATGATTCAGTTGAACCAGGTGATAATTGAAGAGCAAAGGATGGCCTCGTTTGCAAGAGTGGCCTTGGAAAGGTAAATCTTGAAAATAACACTTTGCTTAACTCTGATGATGATGAGACCCGGAAGGTCACAACCGGTCCAGAATTTGCTTGGTTAAGCAAATGCTGTCGCATGATATTGCTTTGGAAAGCCAATAGATAGGCTGATGAACTATTTATATGTAAAAATGCAGTCCTGTAGATAATTGCTTTAACCCTTATTCATCGTGCATAGTGTGTGAATACTGAATATTGGGTATGTAAGTTGGAAATTTACAAGACTTGTATTTTTCTAATTATATTGCAGATAATGTACAGCACTTTGTCAGTCCACTGCTGGATGAAGGCCTCTCTTTGCGGTGGGCCATAGGGATTGTTTAAACGTTCTCATTTATATTTGCTTCATCGCTGTACCGTATTTAGTTTTTCTTCCGTTGTTTCGGTGACCCATGCAGGTCACTAGCAAGTGAGCCTCGCCCTGGTCTTTTGCATTCTCACTTGGTTAAATAAAATTCAACTTAAAAATTTAAACTTGACCATACTTTGCCATACTGGTCATGAGTTTATTAGGTGTGTAGGCCTCTAAGTCTTTGATCCTCTATGTGATCCTGTGGGTCTCTATACTCATCTAAGGGTCGATTATAAGAGGAGTGTATGGGTTTCTACGTGGGTTTATGGATGTCTATGTACAGTCATTACATGGTTTGGTATGTCAGTCTATGGGTATTTTTGTGATTATGTGGATCTTAAATCCAATACTGGATGGTCATAAGGATCGTTTGTGGGGAAATGTCGTGTTAGCCGTGGCCGGCAATCCAACACTGCATCTCACCAGCTTCATCGTACGAACTACCACAGCTCCTTGTCATCTAAAATAACCCGCATACCTGGGCATGGGTGCATTGCACAAAGCAGCTTAGAGCTGATCCGCTTTGTGAGCGCTGCTTAAACGAGTGAGAAAAACACAACCGAAACCTTGTGCATTGTTCACTCTCGTGTTTCTAGGAAGCACACGGTGATATTTGACCCGCCGTGTTAGACAAATACGTCCATTCAAACAAACCTGACAGACACACCCGCACACTAAGACCACCACTACAGCGCATCATGAGAATAATTAATTATTATATTGTACAGAAACGTGGTCGATCCCACCGTTGGATGAATGCATTCCTCCCCATGCCGTATCGGTCCACAGGGGTTGTTTCACCGTATATCACCATGCAGTGCATGTGCTGGTATTGCCGTCCATAGGTGCTCGCTAACAGCACTTGCCCCAACAGTCTTTATGCCTATACGGGTTATCTTTGTGTTTGTAGTTTGTGTCTAATGAGTGTTCATACTGGCTGGTCGAGGAAATTAGAGATTATGGCGAGGCTAAAAGGATACAGAGAACCTTTTGAAAGAAGTGATTTTTCGCCGCCACAGAATTTGCATGCGGTCACTATTTGCATAGAGAAGGATGGAACGGAAACCAGGCAATGGCACACACATATATATATATATATAAACACACACACACAGACGTGTATGTATTCACATATATACCTGTATGAATACCTGTATACATATATACCTGCAAATGTACACAAACAAATATCAAGATGCCCTAATAGCCTTTAACAAACTTGTGGCAAGTGCTGTGAGCGAGCACCTTGGCACGGCGCATGTTGGGGTGGGTGGCGATGCAGCACCACTCCTGGCCGCCTTTGTCTCCCCCATTGCTGATTTACTCATCGCAACAGGCACTTATGTGAGGCTGAGTCGACCTTGGGGAGGTCCAGGACTGGTTTAGACACATACCTGTACACATACCTATATTTGGATGTACGTTAATGTACATATGCCTGTATGGATACACACATCCTGTATACACGTACACCGATCAGAATCAAAATATGTATTTATACTGGAGGAATCTGATGAGCTATAACGCTCTTTATACATGTTACAACAGAGCATAGATTAGGAAAGGAGATACGAGCAGAGAAAAAGAGACCTTCAGTCTCACAAGGCGCTCACCGAGTGAAGCAAATGTTCTACCACTCATTACTGCTCTCATCACGGCCTGTTTCAGCCTCACTGGAAGAGGCGGCTCATGAATCCAGACTTGAACAACTGCACCCCGGGTGTTTCAGTCTCACGTGGCACATGCAGGTGTATCAAATAATGACAGGAAACTTCTGGTCGGGATGGTGATGATTGACGACAATAATGCCGGACCAGTTTCTCCTGGGAAGCTGCGTGGCGGCACTTGCCAGTCTGGTGTAGAAGGCGGTGATGGTGAAACCACTGAGAGCGCTTTACATTTACTCAGTGTGAGTCTGTGGGTCACTATGTGAGTCTACAAGGGTCTGCTTGTGTTTTCGGATCTCTGCGTGAGTCTGGATTTCTACATGAGCCTATGGGTCTCTGTAGGAGCTCATGGTGCTTTATACTCTGCAGATCTCTATGAGTACATATCCATGTGAATCTTTGTGTCATCTGCGTGAGACTGTGGGTTTCTGCGTCTTATGAAGCTTATGTAAGTCTCTGGATCTCTGTGAGTATCGGTTTCTATGTGAGTCTACGGGTATCTGTGAGTCCATGCATCGCCGAGTAAATAGGTTTCTGTAAAAAGCGCTGATGATGAAGCAACTGCCAACGCATTTCAGTTTCTCAGTGAGAATATGTGAGTCAATACATCTCTATGTGAGTGTGTGTGCATTTGTGTTAGCCTATTGATACATAGGCTTTCGCGACCAATATCATCTATAATATAAGTTTTTGAGACTATATTGCGTAAATATAAATGTGTCGTTAAACCTGCCACCATCCGACATCCAATTCGTAAGGTTTGTCACGTAAACAGAACGTGCCAATTCGTTACTGGTACAGCACACCGGTGTGTTGGAGAGCAAATCCACAAATGTAAAATATTGTAAATATTTTGCTTGAATGAAAATATTTACAGTTGCCATACATAGTTACGTCATTGGCATCATTTCTACATACCTTAATCGTGATTGAAAAAGTGAATGATGGAATGTTTAACGTTGTTCTCGAAGGGCAAAAGAACATGTGGAAAAAATGTAGCCAAGTCGATGTTGTAAATATAAATATCCTCAACTAAAATGTTGGAAATTTGAGGGCAACTTTTTAAAACGGGTGCCGAATTTAAATTTGACATCAGATTTTTTTTTTATCCATAAACAGAGTTATCGATTTTTGGTCCCTTTCCAAAACTGAGAGTCGATATTTTTGTATTTGTTTACTTTTGAAACTGGGCCGGAGAAATGTTTCACCTGGAATGTTTTCGTGTGCTGCATTGAAATATAACATCATATTTGAAAACCAAAAGCTATATTTATCTTTTTGGGCTTCCTAAAACTGATAGGTTCAAATATATCCATGTTTTTGTAGTTGCTAAACCCAGGTCTGTGGAGATTATGAAGGGAGCTAAATATAAATGTGATGTCGTGTTTTGAATTGCCATTTTATTTTTAAGTTTTGCACAAGTGTGAACTTTATAGTTGATATAAAGTGGGTAAAGCCCGCTACCCATAACTACGATACATCTACCCTCCTTACATAGAGATTTGAATAGATCGATATAACACGTACATGTATGCAGACTTACGATTAGCTTTTAATAAACTTACCCCATTGTTTGTTTCAACTGCCACGCAGTTGAAACTGCCACGCAGTTGAAACAATGGGGACATGGAATTCGAAACGCCGACCTCTAGATTACAGTCCAGTGAGCTAACCATGACACCATGGCAACATCCCAACCTGTGCATATATAGAAACCGTGGACATACAGGCGCATGCATGCGCTGCCCTGCTGCTGCTGCGATGACACCACGTGGCCACGCGTGTTTGCTGTGAGCCTGCGGGGCGATGGCGGGGCGCTACTCTCCCCCGCCCCTTTGTGCTTTGTGGCTTTTAGAGCCTTGCCCGGGGAATTCCCCTGCGAGATTGAGTGAGAGAGGGCGGGGAGACAGAGAGACATTCAAATCATACGGGGAGGGAGTTTTGAGCGACGCGGAGGCAGAGGGAGGGGAGAGGTGCATTGTCTTCGCACGTGAGAGAGGAAGCGAGAGAGAAGACGTAAACACGGGTAGATTCAAATCACAGGTGAGAGAGGCAGGCACAGAGAGACGCACACTCGACACACAATTAAGGAGGAAGAGAGGTAAACTCACACATGCAAATCACAGGTGAGCTACAGGCAGAGACATTCTAATCAGACGTTACAGGGAAGAGGTAGAGCGCACACGTATTTTACATCACAGGTTGGAGGAGGCAAAGTTACACTTCCACAGCGTGTAAAACAGAGATTTCAATCACCAGAGACGGACAGAAGGCACTGCCGTCACAGCGCTTACAGCAAGACACGGGCACATTCGTACGACGAGAGTGCCGGGACCTCTTGTGCGTCTCTACATGGTGAAACACGTGGAAGAAATGAGTGAGTATCAGCCTGTTATCGCGTTGTCTCACCATTGGTGGTGAGATGTTAACTACCTTACCTGGTATACAGGAGGTCGTGGGTTCATTCCCAACCCTGACGATGGCTGTATATTTGGAGTGTGCATGTTTCTCTCCCCGTGGTCGCGTGGATTTTTCTCCGCATCCTTCAATGTTTGCCTTCACATTTAGAATCAACACTCCGCGTTCAAAATATTTGGCTGCTATACATTTCCACGTGATAAGCTACTTCGTTGAGCAATCATTTGTGACCAGGTCGCTTCTGAAAAAGAGCTCCATAGCTCAGTAGGCCTTACATGGTAAAATAAAAATAGTTCGTTTCAACGCCTTTTAAATGTAAGTCACATCATGGTCACTGCTAATATTTAGCAGAGATGTCAAATTCCGTAGCGCATTCTCTCGGACTATGATGCTACAACATGCCGTACAATCTAACGTTTTATACTCTTATATAAGTGCACAACTTTCTCTACCTGTGATGAACGCGCACTTTCCGTCGTTTCATGCAGGGGGCGCTGCAAACCTACGCGCCCCCTGCATGAACGACAGAGGCGCAGGGACAGACGTTCGATTACGTTGGAATCGATCTGCAGACGGCGGTCTTCTCGCACGGCCAGCAGCTCTATGTCGCCTTATCTCGATCCCGCAATCCCAAACAGGTGAAAGTCCGCATCGAACCGAACCCCCAGCAAGGACATCTACTTAACGACGAGAGAAAATTCACACGAAATTTCCTTTTTCAATTAAGTCTTCCAGATGTAAAATGATATAAGCTTTTAATGAAGAAATACAATTGTCTAATTCAAAACATAATGCAATTCAAAGATGTTTCATTTTAAAACTTCAAAACGGAGCATCGGGTGCTTGCGTGAATACGTCGTTCGTGTGCAATTTTTTTTCGTGACTTTCCTGGCCGGAGGCCAGGGGAGATTTCATCGCGCCGTGTTTTGACACTTGTATAGATGACACAGCTTGTGCCACATTGACGCATTCTGGTGGGTGGTGTAAAGTACTGTCCAGCATTCTCATTGTGGCGAGGAACGGTGCATGCATGTCTAACTATATTAGGCATGCATGATAGTATTTTAAATGTGTATATATCTAATCGTATGGGTGGATGTAATTTGGCCTTTTTTGTTTGCAATTTATTGTTGTTTGATCAAAAGATTTCAGTTTGTGGGGCTACCAAGAGCCCCTTCGAGTGGACGCTCTTCCACTGGCCGTGAAGTGAGCAGGAAATTTTAGGTCAGCACCTCGACATGTTTTATTGTACGTATAGCGGATATTGAGCCATTAGTGTGCTCTTTCAGTGTCTGACTTCCTTGCGCTTATTAGGTGAATCATTAAAGTGAGGTGAAGTACTTCTAGTGCACCGGTGCGACAGATGGCTGGGTGGCTCAAGAGATCATAGCTCTAAGCCGGCTTGGCTGAGATCCTTGGTTAAAATCCTGGTGATCGCTACCCGTGATCCAACCCGATTCTCAAGTGTCGTGAGTTGATGGTTCAAGCCCGGTCGCCGATAACTGCTCCCCGTTGTGCTTCTTCAGTTGTTACCGCGTGTTGTTCGGCATGATGTCCGACGTTTCATTCGACGTGCTCAAAGCTTCGTGAGGAATCGGAGTGAAGCCTCGGACGTCATGCCAAACAAAACCCGGTAACAACACCTGAGAACACGGCGGAGAGTTCCACAGCACAGCTGTGGAAACGAGCGGAGTGACACTGAACAGAAAACCCCCCATCAGATAAACGTCGTATGGATTTCACTTCTTGATTTGGGTGAAATGTGTGACTTGCAGTACATAATTAAAATACAGATTACTATTACTTTTATTTTACCAGGTAAGGCTCACTGAGCTATTGAGCTCTTTTTCAGAAGCAAACTGGTCTCACATAATCGCTCAACGAAGTGTCTTCACGTGGAAATGTATAGCAGCTAAATACTCGAAACCCATGTTTCTAAATGTGGAGGGAAACCCCATAGGACCCGGAGAAAAATCCACGCGACCATGGGGTTAGAGAAACGCAAATTCCATAAATACTCATGTCAGTGTCGGGATCAAACCAGCGACCTCCTGCATAACAGGCAAAGGAGTTATCTCGCCACCGCATCAAACGGCTCATGGGCCCACGAGGCCTGCCACTTAAACATGGATATTGATCCGTCTCCACAACCATCTTCGCTGCACTAATCGGGTATTAGAGGGGAACACTTTCAAAATGTAATTTCGGCACTGCCCTCAGTCACTTCCATCATTGAGGAGGCCGCTTTACGCTCGGTCGTGTTTGTTTGCGTCGGTTATTGGATAACGCTGAAGTGTGCAGTTAATGTGTGGCCCGAGAAAGGTATTTTAACGTCCTTTTCGGTCCTCCAGGAAGGAAAAGTCCCCCCACCCTTGTTGCTAGTGGCAACCCGAATCACAGGCGAACTAAGCAAAGGCGCAGGACCCCAAACAGCTCAAGGGGTCCCGGATTCATGAAATATGGGTGGGTCAAATATCAGCTCGAACTCGACTGAAAATAAAAACCTCATCACTATATTAACACTGTTAACTGTATTTAAATCTTAATTCGTCGACTAGCATAATTGTTTGTCACAACTGTGGTTAAATACATCTATGTATCTTATCCATTATATGAAGTTTGTAGTCATGTGACGCAGCCAAATATAATTTAGGATGAGAACCCCCAGTGCGCTGGTATCACCGTTGCCAATAAAATCTGTAAGTTACAAGAATAACAGTGCAGGCTGGAAACCGCACATTTTAAACAACGCAAAAAAATGCTTTTTGTAAAATGCACAAGGTCTGTGTGTCGAACAAAAAAACCATCAGCATTTCCTGAAGCAGTCCATTGTGGTCTCCTCTTTTATGTCACCATCAAAATAAATATAAGCAAATATGACTGTCATACTGCGCTATATTACTGATGTCCTTCAGCGTTGGCTGAAATGTATTTTGACGTTGGCTTGAGGCTAGAGGAGACCAACATGCCTTCAAAAATGCTCAAAGAATTTGCATCTACGCAGAGGCTGTGTGCTTCTCACCATTGCCTGTGGTAACCCTCAGAGGCGAAGGTACATTTCGGCTGTCCAAGCCTGAATATAAATTGCGTGTCGGTTGTTCGTGTTATAATATAATCGACACCCCTACCAGCCCTGTCCCCCAAGGTGAAAGGTTTTGCTGCCAAACGCTCCGCAAGAGTTATGCCTTTTTGTGGGTCTGGAGATAAATCATACAAAGCTATGCAAATATGCCACCGTAAGGAATCCGTCACAGTTGGCATGAGGATGTGCTTGCAGGAAATTAAACCGGACGCAAACCGCACGCGCACACAGGACGCTATTGTACTTGTTGCAATTTTAATCTGGTGTTCGCTGGTGGGGGCAGGTGCTGTTGTGTGCCTCGTGGAACATGTGCAGCCCGCATTCAGATCCATTCCAATACGAGGGCAGTGGATTGGGGCGCTGCGGTGGCGACACGTTAACTGCCTCGCCTGGTATACAGGAGGTCGTGGGTTCAATCCCAACCCTGACGCTTATATACTTGGAGTTTGTATGTCTCTCTCCCCGTGGTCGCGTGGATTTTGCTCCGGGTCCTCTGCTTTTTTCCTCCACATTTAGAAACATGCGTTTAGAGTATTTGGCTGCTATCAATTTCCACATGAGAAGCCACTTAGTTGAGCTCTCACTTGTGGCCAGGTCGCTTCTGAAAAACAACTACATGGCTCAGCGGGCCTTACCTGGTAAGGTTAGAAAAAGTAAAATAAGGCGTCTCCAAATAACCCACACAGGTCGTAGGGGTGGAGCATTCGCCAAAAGCTGCTCTGGTTGTTACTGCAGGAGTACTAACTGTAAAATGCATGCCGTCGTTTACACTACGGACGTGGAATATCCCGGCGTCATGGTCAAACTGTTGCCAAACGTGAAAAATGTCACCGCAAATTACTGGACTGAGATTACAAACGGCGACATCACCGCCGACTGTGAAACGACTGCAGAGTATGTGTCTGTGAAACATAACGCCTTCGTGATTAGCCTTGCGCCGTGTGAATGACGCGAATACCAAATGTACTCAGTTATTAATAACGATCCTATGCTGGCCATTGTGGTTTGGTGGAGTGAGGGACAATATAGATTGGACCAGGACGGTACAACGATTGATGCACTGCTTCACTTGCCGCTCTTGCACGCAACATCGCCCCACACAACAGCTGACAACGCCTTTTCAATGCCTAGTGGTCACCCATACAAACACAATCCAGACTTGAACCTGCTTAGCTGCTGCGATCTAATGAGATTGGGTCAAATCCGGTTAATGTGGCCACATGCTTATGCTATTATTCTGATATATTGCAACTGCTACAGCCGTGGTTTGTTCAAACCATGGGTAAATGAGGTCTTCTTTGGCAAATAGATTATCTTAGCTCAGTTGGTTAATTTAGCCAGGCAAGGTTTGCGCCCACCTATGATCCATCTTTTTGGAAGAATGGGTTAGTGGATCACATAGAGAAATGTAAAAACATAAAATCCACTTGGGCTCTGCTCGGTGGCCAGGAGGTGCTAGTACAGCAGTGGGCTGCTGGATCTATCTGTGCGGAGCGTATACGTGTGGCTTCCCTCTGGGTCCCATAAGCGAAATTATTTTTTTAAAGATGAATTGGCCAAGCATCACAATGCTGAACCTTCCTGAAAAAGTCTGAAGGCTCTTTGAGGCAAGTTTGGATATATGTTATTATTAATCATTAATAGACAAATAAAAATGATGTTTGACATTCTGTATATTTGATTACGCCTGGGAACAAATAGAAAGATAAAGATCCTCCGTATAGCCTTGTAGTGTATTGGGGCAAATGCTGTTCGCGATTCCAGTTCTGATATCACTCTCCACTGATATTGGGAGTAGCAGGAACATTTTAACTCCTGCTGCCGAATTCGGTGACTCAATGTGCAAACCACTCCACCACCGCTCCCCACACACACGCGACACAAACACATTGCACTCTGCCTTACACAGTCAGGGAATGCTCGCAGTGGACACGAGGTCACACAGAGACCCATGGACTCGCACAGAGACACGTAGACTCACAAAATCCCATAGACTCTCATAGAGACCCGTAGACTCACACAGAGATCCATAGACTCGCACAGGAACCCATAGACTCTCACAGGGAGCCATATACTAATGTAGAGACCCATAGACTTGCATAAAGGCCCAGAGACTCGCACAAAACCCTCTAGGCTCACACAGAGACCCATAGATGCACAGGGACCCGTGGCCACTTAAGAGACTATGTACACACAAGTGTTCCACTGTTTGTTGCGGTGGACATCATTCGCATTTGGGTGATTCTTTTATTTGCCATCTGTGGAGGTGACTGCCGTGGCTGGCGCAGATGAAGTGTGTGGTGCATGTGCATTATATGGTAGCAGCCCACTGCTTGCAGTTGCCGGGGTGGGGTCGTGATGACTGAATGGTGTCAGTGCCGGATGATCCTAGTAGCAAAAGTAGCGACATATGTAGTAGCTACGGGCTCCACACTTTCAAGGGCCCCGCGCTAAATGCTTTCAAGCTATCAATTCTGGTTCAGTGATTCTGCACTTGCTCCATTACTATAGTACTATACTGCCTTCAACTTTTATGAACGACTGGGTGTTTAAGGTTAGCGATTTGTCGTATTATCTGGCTGTATAGCAAATGAAAAAATAAAATGTCTTTACTATGCAAGTTAAAAATGTAAGTGTTTTAATAGTTACGTAATTTATTTTATTTTATTCAAGGCCCCTTTATAACATATGTCACAGGCCCCACGCTCGCTTCATCCGGCACTGGATGGTATGACGCATGTGCACACTCATGGCTGGGCTGTGCCCGTACAGCTTCCTCTAACGGAACATTTCTCCCACTTGAGAGTGATTGCTTAGCGCATTTACCAGAAGTGACATCTGCCAAAAAAAATCCCCACTATACCTTGAATCGGACCACAATCCATTCATCAAGCAATGTGGTATTATACCTGGAAATTACCTGCCACCTCTTGATTACGAGCAGCAATTGTTTTTATGTAGAATTTCTTTCACACTGTACGTGCTAATGGGAGGTGTGGCGGAATGACAACACACACAAAAAGAAGTTCTAAAGAAATCAGTTTTCAAATCTGGATTTTAAAATGCATATCCCCAGTGGCTTCCTAATATCGGAAGGAAGAGCGTTCCAGACGGCCGCAGGAGCTCATCTGAAAGTGTGCGATGCAGTGACTGTCTTTGTAAAAATGACATATGTACGCACGCTTGATCGAGTCGGAGCTCTGAAGCTCAGCAGGCTGTAGCCTGGATAACACCTGTTATGCACCACCGTGCACAACAGGTCTTATAGAGGCTGCTGCTGTTGGGCTACGTGATGGGTACCAGAGGGCATTGCAGTTACCTCCATCGTTGTGCTGCAATCATTCTTCTGGTTAATCAGCAATCCACATTATCAATAGATAACTTATTTGAATTTACCATTCTTCAAAACTGCCAGATACATTTTTTCACAGGCTTAGGTTTATGTACCCCCACCCATATATTAAGGGAACTAAACATAAACAATTTTGCCTTTTAGCCTTTACACCCTTGACAACAATTAGCCGCAAACTTTTGTAGGCTATGGTTCAAAATTGAAACGAAAAAGTAAGTTATTTGGAGCCCTTATGTCTGGAATTTTGGTTGTTGGATTCCTATGGACGTATGTTGAACATATTTCGCGCCTTACGGAGCCAACCGTGCGATCGGAGGTGTATAGGGGACTTACGCAGCAGAGTATCGTGGCTCTAAGGAGCAGCACATCCACTGTGGGGGCCATGAGTGTTTGTTTAGACAACACTGGCATGTTGAGCTCTAGCTGAGAGACCCGCAACATTTCAGACGAAAATCCTTGCATTGTTTATTTCTTGTCTCTCTTCAACGAGGATGACATCAATGCTGATTATACTTGAAGGAAACCTTTCGTGCATACTCGCGCATTAACTGTAGGCTCAGTACTGAGTCGGTAGACGGTAGTAGCGTAGATTGAAAGCTGGATTATCAGATAGTAGTTGAACTCCTCTTATCCATGAAGAAGTTGGGGGGAGGAACCGTTCGCTATTAGGATACACCCAACTCTCATAGTGAAGCCGCACTACTGGTTATAAGCAGAGGCTTAAACTAAACTATTTATATTTTCCCAATGGCCACTGAGCTATGAAGCTCTTTTTCAGAAGCGACCTGGCCACAACTGATCGCTCAACGAAGTGGCTTAGCATGTGGAAATTTATAGCAGCCAAATACTCGAAACTAATGTTTCTCAATGGGGAGAACATGCAAGCCTCAAATATACAGGTGTCAGGGACGGGATCGAACCCACGTCTTGTGTACCAGGCAAGGTAGTTAACATCTCGCCACCGTGACTCAACTGTGCACCAGGTTTCAGCTGTGTTTAGCTCTTCTCTCACGCAATGAAAACTTACGTCACTCACACAATCACTCACGACCGGCCCGAATACAGTATATATTCAACAGGACATTAAATATGTACTCGGGGGGTGTGGACTCGGCATGCTTTTACAGCCTTTCAAACAGGATGTAAGAAACATCGACACAGCACAGTTCTGCGCCACTGTAATTAAATGTGTCACTCCGTGTAGCTATCCTGTTTCCTAATTTGCATATGAAGGTGAGGCTTCACAATGAGCGTGACGTGGCCAGGTGGCTCGGGTGGGGGGCTCGCGATGGCTCGGAGAAACCCAGCCAGCGCCACTGAGGTCGTGGCTTGAAATCCACATTCCAGCCGCCCGCGGTTAAACCAGGTCCCCAAGCGCAGCGAGTGGACGCTCTCTTTGCCTTTACATAAGGCCGCCACGTAACATTTGGACTTAATTTGCCTAAATTCTTGCTTTGAAAACTAAAACAAAAATCTATTGCAAAGAACATGCAAGGTGTGTCCCCCGTGTTGTGAAAGAAACTCAGTTAAGGTGACACTTTCAAACAATTTTCAGATTTTCTGTGGCTTTTCCCCGACTCGGGGAGGTGCACTGCTCACTGTGAATATTCAACATGAAAACAAATTTGTCTCATTAGCATGATACCAATTGCGCAAATTGGAATATAATTTGTGATAAAAGCAAAAACAATAAAATTATGGTTATCGCTCTCACAGAATATTTGGCCGACAATCCAAGAATGGTAAATTTGACACGTAGCAGGATTTAGTGATTAATATTATGCTTCATAATTGACTTTTGGGTTAGATCGCCATAGTAAAATGTGTTGTAAACCCTCCTCCACCCGACATGGCCAACAAATGTTGGATGTTCTGACATTGTTCTCCAACACACTGGTGTGCTAAAGCAGTCATAGATCGGCATGTTTATATTATTCATGAGCCGTGTCGGATGGAGGAGGGTTCTACGACACACATTTTACTCATGCGATCTGACCGAAAAATGTATTACGAACCATAAACATGGTAACTTTGCCATGCACTTTACAAATATGTGACTGGATAACTGCACGCATGAAGAAAAGTAATTTGATTGCTGGTGAAAGTAACATAGGTTATGCAATTGCCCAAAAGCATTTTGGAGGGACGGAGCTGTGTGTTTTCCAGTTTGTCTTGTTCAGTCAAGACAATTACCGCTGGGTTTTGCCTTTCTAAATATAGTGTTTTGCCTTTCTAAATGTAGTGCTTTCAGTTCTTCAGTGCTTAATTTCACGTACTACATGTTCAGCTCATAGGTCTGTTAACGGATGGATAGAGTTGTTTCCACTGTAAAAATTTGCATCCATGATTGGCTTAGGGGTTGCTAAGTGTTCAACTAAGCATGATTGTATTCTGTTGGTAACAAGGGATGCCATAACTCATTAAAATTATCTGATATTTACAACATTTTTGTGTAAGGTTGTGTTTCCATTTGGGAATCACTCGATTGAATTACGGTCAAATTGATCAAAGGGTTTCCCAACATGAAGACACACAAATCAGAGAAAAAACTACTATTTGCGAATATGAAAATATACACGTATATATTTCGCTTCTGACAGGCTGTCCGTTGGTTTCCACATTGCCAATTTAATATCTCCGAAGGTAACCACGCGTTATAAAGTGTTAAATAGCAAATGACCCACATCATAATGCCTGTGTGAGATCGGCAGTTCATCAAGTCAGCCTGGCTGCTGATGAGACACTGTATGTCGACCAGGCCAAAGTTTGCGTGTCTCGAATCAATGCTGCTGAAATTATGCACTCCCAGAAGGCCGTGCGGTTGATGGGTAGTGTAATACATTTTTATTTCCCTGTGTTGTGAGTAATTGCTGTGCGTGACTCGCATGTTTTAAACAAGAGAGCACCGCGACCGTGCTAAAGGTCGCGAATGCAGGTCATACCTGGATGTTCTCGCCCTTTCAAAAAGGCCACCGTGCGCGTTTGTCTCGAAATTACGGTGTTGCAACCGGAGTAGGTGTGTCTGACACACATTTGACAAGGAGCCAGATAACGTGAAGCAATTTTAATCCAGATAGTTTAGTTCACATTGAGGTTTTATCCTGCATGCTTAATACTACCCCTGGATTTTGATCTGTGTATATGCACAACCCTTTTGCCTACAACATCGTCCCACAGCCCATAATACCTGTCTTGCATGGTGGTCACCCGTCCATGTACTTTCCAAGCTCAACGTTTATAATGTAAAAATACATGCAAGTGGTGGTTGTGAGTGAGTTGTTATATGGAAGCTCGATGAGATGTGTTTTGTTTAAAGTCGTTGTTTTGCGTCCGGCGTTGTGCAGCGTCGAGGCAGAAAGCTCGCCCCCCCGTGGAGGACGATGAGTCCATGTACTCGAGCTCTGAATCCGGCTTCGGCGAGCCTCGCTCGCCGCTGTCGCCCGAAGAGTCGCGGGATTTCGATTCGCTCTATCGCCGCATCGTCGCCGACTGCCCTCGCTTGCGGCTGATCGCGGGACGGACACGGGGGCAAGAGGGAAACCTCGGCACCGAGGACGGCGGTGACATCAAACCCAGCGGGAGTGGACGCTGTACCCCCCAGCGCAAGGGCGAGTTGTCGCAGTGGGACCTTGGTGCTCGGAGGCCGTCGGTGGAGAGAAACCAAAGCTGCGACAGCGGGAGTATCTGCCGTGGTCCAAGTGAGCACGGGAGCGCCAGTCCCCCCAGCCGAGCCATCCATTGCTCAGCAGTGGCCAGACCCCCGTCGATGGAAGCGTCCTGCTGCGATTTTACGCAGGAGAGAGCGGCCCGTGGGAAGGAGGTGGGAGTGGCGGGTGGGCACATGCAGCGCCGTCCGGTGGGGGGAAACTCCTGGGATAGCGGCATCGTCGGGCTGGGACAAAGGGCACCGTTGGATCCGCTGGGTTTGGGGTTGGGCTACCTGGAGCCGGCCGCTCCGCTAAAATCTGGCGACTTCATGCCGCAGCAGGACCACGCAGCTCCGCGGGGTTTCCTGCACCCGGGGGAGAAGGCGGATGCTTTCGAAGCAGGGTTCACCGGCCGACCGGTGGTGCACGGCCCACCGGCGTACGCTGCACCAAAGTACGTGCACCCACACCACCACTACGGGTGGCCTTCAAGCAACGCCGGTTGTTCCTGTGGTCACCAGCACCAAAAGCAGCAGAACCAACAACAACAACAACAGCCGCTGCCACCGCAAATTGGGCACTGGCCACCGCCATATCCAGCAGTCTACCTTCCCGCTGAGAGCAGGGTAGCTGCACCGGCCCCGGTGTGCCCGAGTCGGGACTACCACTTGCATGGGCCGATGCCTCCCAAGGCTGGGTTGCCGCAGGGGTCCCAACCTTCAGCTGTAGCTGCAGTGAGCGCCGTGGGAGGCCGGGAGCCGGAGAGCAGGAAGAGGTAAGATGCTATATTGCTACTATAATAGCCCAGAAATGTGTGTCCCGCGTGTGACGTCACTACGAATGCCACACGCGGAAGAAGGACGAGCGGAAAAATATTTTTTTTCGCAAATTTGCTTGAAATTTGACTTTTTTATTGAAAGTTATTCGTATAAATAATTCTACGCATTTATTTACAGAAAGTGACGGTAAAAAATAAATCTAAGCACTACAGTGCTACATCCATGCGAGACGTCACTGAAAAAAGGCCAGCTCCCCCGTCATTAATATTCATGCCCGCGTGGAAATTTACACTGACGCACAAGAAGGTTGCGCACTCCACATGCCGTCACTCCACATGCTGCACCCCTCCACAATAACCATTAACGGATGACGTCGCTCCACATGGGCAACCCCTCCCCCCTCATTAATCATCATGAGCTGAACAATTTTTCTTTTGAATATTAAAAATTTACTGTAATATACACCCGTCCTTGGACGGGAAAAAAAGCTCATTGCAATATAAATGGGTACACCGGCACAGTCCGTCGAGCGGCAGGGCGCGTGTGGTGGGGTGAAGCGTGGCTACTCCGACTTCGTCCAAGGCGAGAGGCCAACGTAGAAAGCAGCAGAGACTCTCTCGGGTTCCTTCACGTGGAGGCCTCCGCTGCCAGCAGTGGCTTGAGCAGGCAATGGCAGGGCTGCACCTTTCCAGTGATGACTGAATCTTGCTTGTTTTCGCCTAATGTGGCTGCAGCCTGCACGAGATAAGGAATCGCTGGCCGTATTTGGCCCATGGGTTGCAGGTTCTCCAACGCTGGTTTAGAGTTTGGGGGCAGCCAAGGGGCAACAGCTGTCCGCCCGGTTGTTCGCCCCCCCACCCCCTCTGCGTGTGTGTGTGTGATGCCGCAGGGTGTGGATAGCGGTGGGGTAGCAGTTAGCGCTACGCTGCGCTACGGATCCGGCGACCCGAGTTCAATTCCCACTCGTGGCCAACACCAGTATCTGAACCAGTCCTGGGCCTTCCCTAGGTCGATTCAGCCTCAAATGAGTACCTGGTGCGGTGTGTAAAAACATCACCACTGGGAAGACAAAGGCAGTCGGGCGTGGTGCCGGTCACCCACCCCCTTGTGTACCCTGCCTGCCTTCATAGGTGCTCGCTAACAGCACTTGCCCCAACAGTGTGTTGAGGCTATACGGGGGATCTTTGTTTTTGTCTTTGATGTTATAGGGTAAGCGGCGTGCACGGTGATGGGAGACTCGTCCCGTCGGCCCGGCAAGCGAGGATCTCGAGCCTCACGCCCATCACCATCCGCCGCTCGCACCTGCACGAGTCCATGTGTAGGCATGAGCACGCGGACGCACGCACACACACAGCTAAAGACAAGGATCCCCTGTATAGCCTTAGCATACTGTTGGGGCAAGTGCTATTAATGTGTAATGCACGTTTCAACTCTGTTGAGCAACCGGTAAATGTTGAGGGAATGTATACTCTTTGGTTCTTTCGGTAAAGTCACGTAGGTAAAAAAAATAAATGATAAATCGCGACGTTTCGATGGCAACACAAGCAATCGTCATCAGGTAGAGAGACACAGCCGTAGAGCTGCTAAACAAGAAAGGGCTGTCGCAACAGGAGGCTCCTCCTTTGGCGCGGCTGCTGTGCGGGCTTGCGGCGGCGGCGTTGCGAGCGAGCGACGCTGGGGCTCACTTCCCATGACAGTCGTTTCCCATGAGAGTCACTTCCCATGAGAGTCATTTCCCATGAGAGTCACTTCCCATGACAGTCGTTTCCCATGACAGTCATTTCCCATGAGAGTCGTTTCCCATGAGAGTCACTTCCCATGACAGTCGTTTCCCATGAGAGTCATTTCCCATGAGAGTCACTTCCCATGACAGTCGTTTCCCATGAGAGTCATTTCCCATGAGAGTCACTTCCCATGACAGTCTTTTCCCATGACAGTCATTTCCCATGAGAGTCATTTCCCATGAGAGTCACTTCCCATGACAGTCGTTTCCCATGACAGTCATTTCCCATGAGAGTCGTTTCCCATGAGAGTCACTTCCCATGACAGTCGTTTCCCATGACAGTCATTTCCCATGAGAGTCATTTCCCATGAGAGTCACTTCCCATGACAGTTGTTTCCCATGACAGTCATTTCCCATGAGAGTCACTTCCCATGACAGTCGTTTCCCATGACAGTCATTTCCCATGAGAGTCATTTCCCATGAGAGTCACTTCCCATGACAGTCGTTTCCCATGACAGTCATTTCCCATGAGAGTCGTTTCCCATGAGAGTCACTTCCCATGACAGTCGTTTCCCATGACAGTCATTTCCCATGAGAGTCATTTCCCATGAGAGTCACTTCCCATGACAGTCGTTTCCCATGACAGTCATTTCCCATGAGAGTCATTTCCCATGAGTCACTTCCCATGACAGTCGTTTCCCATGACAGTCATTTCCCATGAGAGTCGTTTGCATTGAGCACGCCGATCCTCCTTTGGCGCATCTCTGACCCCGCTTACTTACCCTTGGGTGACACCCACCTCAAGCCTGACTATAGCCTCTTGTTGCAACAGCCCTTTCTTGTTCAGCAGGTCGACTGCTGTGTCTCTCTACCTGATGACGATTGCTTGTGTTGCGATCGAAACGTCGTGGTTTATTATTTATTTTTTCTACCTACGTTACTTTACCGAAATAACCAAAGAGTATGGATTCCTGCAGTCACGAAAACTTCAAATCAAGATTGAGGGAATGTCTTTAAACTCGCAGCGGCTTCAGTTGAATGGCTACAAATCAAGATGTGTGACCTTGAAAAATACAAAACTGAAATTTTGAGCGGCACCCTAATAAATATGTATACAGTAATGCTATTTTAGCCTGTGGAAACTGTCGAGATGAATGCTGTCAGCAGCAGTGTGTGTTCAGGTCATTTGCGCACCCACGTGATCACGTGCGATCAAAACGTTCAAAGTGGAACTGGGTGGTGACGATGAGAGTCTTAAAAAAAAAAAACATCGGGTGTGAATGTGGGTGCAGCAAGCCGGCCACTCTTCACGATTGTTCATCTAAATAATAAACGGGAGGGTTTGACTTATTTGAAAAGCATTGTTTTGCCAGAAATTGTCCCTAATCTCTGCCTTACAGCACTGGGTCAACGTTGGTTGAAGTTGGCATGTTTATAGCTGAGAGCCCGTGTCCAAATCAAGGTTTCAGCCACCTGTGATTTAAACCGGATTCTCAAGTTTAGTGAGTTGATGTTCTCGTGCGGTGACCAATGTTTATTCAATCACAAATTACCCGATTTGGATTATACACAGCAACATCGCCCCTTACTGCAATCACTTGACAGGATCCTTGAAACATTGTATTGACACTTAATGAGGCTTTGTTGAACAAGCATAATACTTCATAGCAGGCAAATAATCTCACCGCGTGATGTTGATTCTAAATGTGGAGGGAAAAACGGAGAACCGGGTAAAATAATCCACACGACCACGGGGAGAGCATGCACACTCCAAATACACAGCAGCAGGCATCAGGGTAGGGATCGAACCCACGACCTCCTGTATACCAGGCAAGGTAGCCGCACGTCACTTTCTGAGGGTCAGTGGCTCAGTGCCCACGTGAGCACAAACACATCGGCAAGGGAACAAAAAAAACACAATAACACAGAAGATGCTTCCTACATCTCACCCGCATGCTATGTATATATAGACAATAGCGTAATATATACACGTTTTGGATTATCCGTGTTTTCTTTTATACAGGCCATTACCCTACCCGATTACCCCGGATATGAGGGTTAACCGTATATTTATTTTATTGATCCTTCCAGATACATGTTACCGCAGCCACCACAATTCCAACGTTGACCAGACTGCCACCGGTGATCAGCTTTGAATTCACTGCGTCTCATCAGCAGGGTGTGGGCTATGACACTAATACTACTGTGATGTTATAGACAAGAGCCATCTATATAAAAATAATGGACATGGGGAGCCCCTCATCCCAGGCTAGAAGAGGGCCTCCCCCATGCAGGGCAGGATGATTTGACCATACTGCACCACACTGGTTGTTGTGGTTTGTTCAAGGCAGAGAGAAGAGTGCACAATGCATTTGTGTTTTTTTTTTTTACTGAGATAAGTAGGTTTAAAAAAAATATGTTGAGGGCCTGAGGTGTGGCAATAGGACGTGCTAGGTCGCGGTTGGTGCAGAGGAAGTTTCCCATGACATTTGTAGATTTGTTCATGCACAAGACGACTGGTCATGGTCGGGTGCATTTTTCTCCGGGTCATGAAAGTTTTCCCTCCAAATTTAGAAAAATGTGTTTAAACTATTTGGCTGCTGTAAATGTCGACATGATAAGCTCCTTTATTGAGCTGTACATGTTGCTTATAGTCAGTGGCTGTACCTGAATACTTCACCAAGATCCCAACAGCCTCATCCCAACACCCCCTCCACTTTCCCCACCTCCCCTCCAGCGCTCGAACTGCAGTTAAGTGACATCTTGTCAAATTCTCTCCTGCACATTTTTGTGCGAGCTGATGGGAACGTCTGCAGGATGTGGGTGACGGCTACGCTTTGTCAGTTGCGGTCATTCATAGGGAGTGTCGTCTCCAACTCTCGTCCACTCTACCTCTCTGGCCTCTCTTTCACACTGATTACACACAAAGTGAACCATGATACATCTTCTTGGTTCTTTCGGTAAAGTCACGTAGATTTAAAATAAAATAATTACAATAAAAGCAAAAAATCATGACGTTTCAATCGCAACACAAGCGGTCTTCATCAGGCGAAGAGAAAAGAGGACCGCTTGTGTTGCGATCAAAACGTCGTGGTTTTTCCTTTGATTTTTAGTTTTAATAAAAATTTAATTTATTTTCATTTTCGATCTACGTGACTTTACCGAAAGAACAAAGAATGAATTCCTGCAGTCACGAAAGTTTTAAGTAAAAAAATTTAACCATGAGACCTTGCTGATCTCGTCAAGGAACATACATTATCACACGATCTCTGGGTTTTCTCGCAGTGGCTTTTGGCTAGCCAACGGACAAAGACGGCCATAGCATCGCACACTTTCAGATGTGCTTCTGTGGCCGTCTGGAACGCTGCTCCCGATTTTAGCAAGCCCTTGAAAATTCCCTGCAACACGGCCCCCTAGTATGAAACTGCTTTCTGTGTTTAGTTTGTTGTCCATCCCCTGCACGTCTGATTCGCACGGCTGGCTACTTACAGTGCGAAAGAAGTTCAACATACAGTACCTATGGAGAAGGGCCATTTGCCCCGAAACATCACTGATATATATCGTTCCTATCAAGGCCACAGTATTATTTACAAATGTGTTGAGTGCTCTATAGGATGGTGTTGTCCTCTTTGTTGACTAGTTTTTGTGGTTTATGTATGGATACTTTTTGATTATTGATGGGGTTTTTACTCAATAGCTACCCATAGTGTAACTATTCATATGCCAATTTAAGAACTGGTCATCAGAAAACATTTGTTAAATTTAATTCTCATCATGCTTCCATGGCGTGAAGTGCACTCTCCAACTCTTATCTACTCCACCTCTCTGTGCTATCAAGAAGGGCCCTTGGCCATAACATCGCCTTTTATTATTATTATATCGTCTCTTTTTAAAACTACGGTGATATTGACCAATGTATTGAGTTCTCTTCAAGGAGGATGAGGTCCTCTTGACTCATTGGTTATTCGATCATCTTACCCATCATGAACTCTCCATCTGTCACTGCTCTGTCTCTTTCCTCCCATGCACTCCTTCCTGAGATCACAACCCCATACACGTGGAACCCTTTGCGCCAATGTTAGGCCAACAGGTTCCAACCCTGATGTCAATGTTGACCCAATATTGGCATGGTTACATGGAACTTGGTTTTTATGCTATACCGGGCACGGCATTCTGTTTTTTTTTGTTTTACAATGTTTCTAGCTTTGTTGAACATCTAAATGTAAACGTCTGCTTGTTGTCTTCCAGGTAAAGTGTTCATCACCTACTCACTGGACGCCGCGCCCCACGTTCTAAACCTCGCCAAGTTCCTCTGTGCCAATGGCTTCAACACCATGGTACGTGCATTTTAATAATAGACCACCATACGCTTTCACGGAGCAATACCAGTGAAACAAACCCACATGCGGGTACGTGGGTTATATTCAGTGGTAGGTGAGGGTTTGTGGATCACACAGATGTTGTGCAACTGCCTTCCTATGGGCATTGAAGGCAGTACAGAAAAATGTGGACTCCATCTGTATGGGATGGCGTGTTGCCCCTCGCACGCATGGGTTTTTTTTTCCAGGTGCTCTGGTTTCCTCTAATTCTTAAACACTCATTAATTTACCAGTAATACCTTCATATATAGAGGACCTGCAGAGCTTAGGGAGAAATTTGGTGCCGGCTCACCGTCATGGCTGTTGCCTTCCCGCTCATCTGTGGTTTCTCGCGCCTCTGAGTCATCCTCTCTTTTCGAAAGTGAGCGAATACTGTGTGGCGCATTGCAAGTTGCAATGACCATTATCACTAAAAATAGGGGCCACGTGTCCAATTGCCCCTCTATTCGTATATCCCGGCGCTTGGACTCCTCCGGCCCAATGGTTCCGGCCTGTGTGATCAGTAGCCCTTCTAGATTAATATATCCAAGTAGGGTTTGCGCTAACGAGACGAAGCGTGGTTCCATGCGTGTCTCATCACCATCGTGTGGCCTCCTAAACGAATGCCTCTGGATAATTAGATATTATGGGCAAGAGCAGTGTTCTTAATTTCGCGGGACATTGGCAGCCCCATGGTGGCCTTTAGTGCGGTCCCTGACATGCGACCCCTCACAATACACAAATCTGACAACACCCCATCGTACTGTCAAAACCCATTAGTTTGAAATGTGTGGCGGCCCTCACACTGATGTCCTATTGGCAAAATAGTCTCCCCTCTGAAAATTAGGGAAGAACACTGGGCTAGAGCCATCTTTAGATATTATGAGACCAAATCCATTCATTGAAATATTTTTCCACTGCACAACCGATCTGCGCTGGGGCCATGCCGAGCCAGCCCGGTGCAGCTCAGGAGGTGCCAGGTTTTAATTTTTCCACTGCAGACCTCAAGCCATGCCGCTAACATTGCACGCAATGATGAGTCATTAGTCCCGCCCCCCGGCCCTGCTTGGCTCGGGGCCACATTCAGATGTCTTGTAATGTGGCACTGATGAGATTTTAGATTCAAATCTGTTTGATATCACTCTACTCCTGGATAAGCGCTAAGATGGTTGACCACCATACACATGGTTGTTCCGGGCTGTGGGCAGCAGAAGGAGACATCGCAGCGATACACTACGCTGCTCCTGACATGGTCATCTGTCTTAACCACCTGAAATTGTAGTTGTTGACATGCATCTACATCACCCATACAAAAGAAGAAGAACAAGAAGGTAGCAGAGGGTATGTGCTGAAAAATCAATTGCTGAAGTGTACTTTTGTGCTCCCACCTTCAATTCACATTGACCAGTACAGTGAAGTATGGTCAAATAACCTCGATGACCCACAGCGGGGAAAGCATTCATTCGATAGTGGAGTGACAAAAATGTTGAACACGTGCCTGGTTGGTTCCACCCGGTCTGCACGTGCTGATATGAGGGAATTTCCAGACGCCCACACACACACAGCTCTATCACATGGAGACATCACATACTGGAGGCAAATGAGCGTGACAGCAACGAAGGTAGGTGAGAGAAAATGTAAAACAAAACGCCGCATGCTCACACAGAGAGCAGCACATACATATGCTAAATATTAAATTCGTCAAATCACACGCCTGGTCGTGCGTTGCATTCACAGCTGGATGTTTTTGCCGACCAGCTGAGAGGCATTGACGTCATCAAGTTCATGGACACCTTCCTCCTGGACGTAAGTACCAGAGCAACGGCCATGAAATGCACAAAATCATACTTATTACTTTGCTCACATTTTAGTGAAACATCAGGCCCATTGACGCACGTTATCCCATTTTGAATGCCTTCAAAATAAGGTTGAAAGCCTTTATGTATTTGGAACCGAGTCTATTGAAAACTGTCCAAATTGATCAAACGGTTTCCCAAACGTTTAAGATATAAACCATATCAAAAAGCACCGTTAGCAAATATTCATTTTGCCCTGACAGCTCGCCGTCGGCTTGTGTCCTGCTATTTGGCCACGGTGGTGAGATGTGACCTTCCTCGTGTGGCATGCCCTAGGTCGTAGGTTTGATCCCGACCCTGACGGCTGTATATATGGAGTTTGCTTGTTCTACTCGTGGTCTCGCGGATTTTTCTCCGGGTCCTCCGGTTTTTTCCTACACATTTATAAACATGCGTTGAGAGTATTTGGCTGTTATACCATTTCCATGTAGTAAGCCACTTCGTTGAGCTATCATTTGTGGCCAGGTTGCTTCTGAAAAAGAGCTATATATCTCAGTGGGCCTTACCTGGTAAAAGAAACATAGTTTTAGTTTAGTTGTCACCTTCCTCAAACGCAAGTTGTGTTCTGCTTGTGTGCATACTTCGCCTGGGTCTGCACAGAAGGACTACATGATCATCGTGGCCGTGAGTCCCGGCTACCGGAGGGACGTGGAGGGCTCGGTGGGAAGTCTGGACACCGACGACCACAGCCTGCACACACGCTACATCTTCAGACAGGTGCGTGCCCGTTCACACACCTCCAATTAGCAAGGTTGGCTACGTATGCTATAAGAATTGAGAGAGTACAAACTGTTCTAATATAACCATTCTTGTCATCATCGTGTAATCCACAGCTTCAGAACCAGTTCATTCAGCAGGGCTGCCTCAACTTTCGAGTCATCCCAGTGCTCATGCCTCCAGCCTCCAAGGTCAGTGCTCTAGCCCAAAGTAGAACCTGCACACGCACAGCCGGTGAACAGATGTGCTTTCATTGTTTTATTACGCGTTTGGCTTGCTTTGAAAATTATGGCATTTATTACTTAACATTGATTTATATTTGTGCGGTATTTTTTATTTCTCACGTGTTGACGTTGTTTTTTCCCTGTTTTCTATTTGCTTCTTTGCCGTACTTTATTTAACTTGTTTTACATTTTTCTGACCCGTGTCACTTTCAAAACGAGACTCGCCCTGCTCTCGTATGTCGTCACCTGGCTAATCAAATCATGCTGGCTTGACTTGACGCTCCGTGAAAAAGAGCTTCATAGTTCAATCGGATTCCTTCAGGATAAACAAAGATTGTGATTCTGTGTTGCGGCGTGCAGGACGACGTGCCGTCGTGGCTGCAGAGCACGCTGTGCTTCCGCTGGCCGCGGGACTTGGAGGGCATTCTCCTGCGTCTCATGCGAGAGGAGAAGATCGTGCCGCCCCCCGTGGGAGAGCTTCCCACCATCACCATGGTTCCCGTGTGACGCCGAGACCCGCAACAGCTAAATATTTATTATCATCATTATCGCTCCATATATGTATATCTACTGCGCCTCCCATGCAGTACATCTACGTATGTATGTTGAGCTTCTTTCGCACTGTACGTAGCCAACTGTGTTAATCAGAGGTGTGGGGGAAGGACAAAAAACTAAACACAAAAAGCAGTTCTAAAGAAGTGAGTTTTCAATCTAGATTTAAAAGTGCATAGCTCCAGTAACTTCCTAATATCGCAAGGAAGAGCGTTCCAGACGGCCACAGAAGCGCATCTAAATGCGCACAATGCAGTGACCGTCTTTGTTCCATGGCATAGGCAAAAGCGGCTGCTGGGAGAATGACCAGGGTGTGCGCGATGGTTTATGGTCCTTGAGCTAAGGAGAACCCCCGGCGGGAGCTGTCACTGTGCGGCGCAAGGTGAACGCAGCACCGACTTGCAGGTGGGTAATAGTCTGTCCAGAGAGTGTGATGTTGTGCGCTGAGATGATTCTCAATTCAGCAAATAATTAATTAACTCTGGAAAATTCGGACCATGAAGCCGGCACATGCACCTTCGATTAACACGGTTGGCTATGTATCGTGCAAAAGAAGTTCAACATGCATACATAAATGTGAACAACTCTTTTTCAATGTGATGGGATCTATAACGTCCACAGTAGTATTTATGGATGATACACCCTCAGTATTGACCAGGGCGCCCACTGGACTCGAACCACGGACCTCTACACAAGTGGCAAATATGCTTCGACTGGGCCATGTCACCATCTCCCCATAGGATACAATGACCAGCTACCTCTGGAATAATGTTCTCGCAAATTTCCCCCACCTCTCCGCCTTGCTGCTTCCATTCTCTTGTTCACGACTCCCCTCTTCCCCTGGTGTGTGATGTCTCCAAGCCTCGAAGACATTGTTGCATCAATCGATATCATAATTATAAATTCATGTGTAGGTGCTAGGTGGACTGTTACATCACAGGATTGTGAGAGGTGGCCAGCAGTTTGGGGAGGACTTTATCCAGCAGTGGAATGAAAATGGCTGGTGATAATCATGTAAGCCATTTGACAATCCACTGCTGGATGATGATGTTAACTACCTCGCCTGGTATACAGGAGGTCGTGGGCTCGATCCCGACCCTGACACTTGTATATTTGCAGTTTGCATGCTCTTCTCGTGGTCGCGTGGATTTTTCTCCAACCGGGCCCTCCGGGTTTTCCATTCACATTTAGAAACATGCGTTTAAATTTCCACATGATAATAAGTCACTTCGTTGACCTTTTTTTTTGCCAGGTCACTTCTGAAAAAGAGCTGTAAAGCTCAGTGGGCCTTACCTGGTAAAATAAAAATAGATTCATAGAATGCCTCCCCGGAAATTGTTTGAATAGCCACACATAAAAGGCACAAGATTCACAAAGGATCATGGTGTTGCAAAGCCAAGTATATATGGTTTGAATAATAGGCCTTGGAATATGAAATAGCTATTATTATTTAGCACCATTAATACCGTTTATCCAGCACCATGATTGCCAGGTCACTAATGCAAATCAGTCTTACCCTGGTTTCTCATTCTCACCTGGTTAAACAAAATAAACTCGACTATTGTGTTTTTATATATTAATTAAACACAGCTGTTTACTGGTTTCATCCTGGAGCATAACAGGACTGTAATTAGGTTCAGAATGGCAATATTCTTAGTGAAATTTGTGCCTTTTGTGTGTGGTGAGAGGGGCTTCTTTTCACGCCAACTGCCTCCAAGAATCACACTTGTCATTATTATGCAATATTATAAGTTATACTGTCATAGCAATGACTCACATGTATGTGAAGAATCGATGGTGCTTTCATTTTGCCATTTTAAATCGCATAATCGATCTAATATTTGCGAGAGTAAGAGTATGGAGCCAGATTATTGTGGGGAAATGTACTGCCTAAACAATATGCGTGCATTGTTGTTGAATGTGACGCGAGTGAGTTGAACGTGAATCTGCAGCTTTGCTCTTCATAATGCATTTGTGAGCCAAGTTCTGGTGCAGATGTACATAAGTGTCGGCTTTTTTCTGTCGACATCATTGTTTCTGTTGCGTCTCATTGTAACATGTGGTGCGTATCTGCACTTGCTAGTAACTTAAAGCTACAACATTTCAGGAAGTTTCAGCTGGGACACACATTGAGGGGCTTCCTCCCTCTCTCTGAAGTTGGTGCTGCTGACTGCTCGTAGACCTATCGACTCGTCTGCCAATCCCACACACAAGTCGGGTAAAAGTGATTTCCTGCGCAGATGTTTACTGTCCAGAACCAATGGTGGAAATTCCACATTACTATGGTAGGGGTGAGCCTATCCATAGGAAAACCGTTAAATTTCGATTTAAAGCTTTCGTGACTGCAGGGATTCATCTTCTTGGTTCTTTCGGTAAAGTCACGTAGAAGGGAAATAATAAAATAATACAAATAAAACATTATAAATACAATTCTCACGACGTTTCGGCCACAACGCAAGCAGCCGTCCTCATTCAGACGCTGTCTTTCCGACAGACCTGTTCTTCACCTGAGGACGGCTGCTTGCGTTGTGGCCGAAACGTCGTGAGAATTATTTTATTATGTTTTATTTTTTATTATTTTATTATTTCCCTTCTACGTGACTTTACCGAAAGAACCAAGAAGATGAATCCCTGCAGTCACGAAAGCTTTAAATCGAAAAAGTTGTTTGTTTTGTGTCTATATGTTTAGCCATAGCAGGGCTTGTATGAAGATGGTTAATTTTTTGAGGTGTGTTGTCAATATAGTGTTTCGTAAGTGGTAATTTGCAATCCTTGATTGAATTAAAGTTCAAACAATAAATCATGTACATATACATTGTATTCACATTGTTTTTTTGCATTCATGACGTGTCCAATTGTACTATCGGCGTCGTGTCCTTATCGATTCATTTACAGCCCATTGTCAATCCACTGATGAAGGCTTCCCCATACCGTGTCAGTCATGGTGGTTTTTTGACCACACTTCGTCACGCTGGTCAGTGCGGATTGGTAAAGGGAGGAGCGGCAGAACCTGTCCATGACCGATCCCTGAGATCTCCCAAGCTAAGCAGGGGTGAGCCTAGATTAGGAAAGTGCTTAGAGGGGTGACACTTGCACAACAGATATAGGCTCTGGGAGATCCGTAACGCAGTGCAGCAAAGTCCATCCCCGACCTCCGATTGGCACGGTTGGCTATGTACGGTGCGAAAGAAGTTCACGTCCACACAGACAACGCTGTTCCGTACTTCTCTGCTTCAAGCATTCACCAATCCGCGCTGATCACTGGTGAATTAAGCGGTCCGTGTGAACTGGTGAAGTATGGTTAAATAGCCCCCCACACCACGCGGACAGGCACTGATCCAGCAGTGGATTGACAAGAGGGCTTGTACATGAGAAGGTTCGTGAGGAGGATGTTCTGCGTGGGTTGGGTTTAGCTGCACTGAGTGGCCAGTAGGCGGCGCGAGACCACCGCTGTGGCGGACAAAGAAGATCGTGACGTTGTTGGCTTCATCATCCATCATCGTCAGCCATCGTCATTCCACTGCTGGATGAAAGCCTGGCTGTGTAAATTCAGTGGTCACGAATTGCACGAGATGCGTTCTGCCTCAATCAAGTAAAGAACTTGAAAAACCCCCTGAAAGATAGCTTAATAACACGTCTCTACAGTACACGTTTAGTGTATACATGATATGGCGGAGTATCTCCTTCTGGTGTGCAGGAGGTCGTGGGTTCATCCTGACGCCTGCTGTATATTTGGAGTTTGCGGTGTCTCTCTCTCACATCATCTTGACTTAAAGCTTTCGTGGCTGTAGGAATTCATATTCGTTGGGTCTTTCGGTAAAGTCACGTAGATAGGTTGAAAGAAAATAACAAAAATAACAAAAATAACTACTCAGCGGGTCTTACCTGGTAACTACTCGTAGTTTTGTTGTTATTTTTATTATTTTCTTTCAACCTATCGACGTGACTTTACCGAAAGACCTAAAGAATATCTCACATCATCATCAAAGTCGCAAGATGTTAACTACCTCGCCTGGTCTACAGGAGGTTGTGGGTTCCATCCCGACCCTGACGCCCGCTGTATATTTGGAGTTGGCGGTGTCTCTCTCTCTCTCTCTCCGTGGTGGCGTGGATTTTCTCCGGGTTTTCCCCTCCACATTTATAAACAACGTCACGCGTTTAGAGTATTTAGCCGCTATACATTTCCACATAAGCCACTTCGTTGAGCTATTATTTGTGGCCATGTCGCTTCTGAAAAAAGAGGTCCATAACTCAGCGGGCCTTACCTGGTAAAATAAAGCGTTTAGTTTGAATCACGAATGCAGTTTATGTACAGTATATGTGCAGCCCTTTTGCCAATCCACTGCTGGATTGAGGGCCGACGTCCACCCCACTGCCCTCGCCGGGCAGGTGGGGTGGACGTCCGCACCCTTCACTCCCTCCTCCACCGCGTCGATCGGCTCCCGCCGGGCCCCCGCCGGGCCCCCGCCGGCCGTGTGACCGGCGCCCCTGCGCTTGCGCCCCCTCTGAGGGACATAGCTACATTGCTGGCTCACCGCCGCACGGGGTTATTCCACACACGCCCGCGTACACCACCACTAATGCTAACGCGGCGGCGCGAACGCGCGCGCCCCTGCAGGCGATTATATATAAACACGCGCACGCCCCCACAGTTAACACTAAAGCGGCTGCGCGAACCCGCGGGCGAATATCTCAACGAGCGCTCGTGCTGCGGCTCTGCCCTCACTCTTACTGCGCAACCGCCCACGGAGCCGCAACACAAATCACGGACACCGTACAGATGCTCTGTGCTAATGTTTATTCACGGCGGAAACCCTGCACTGCCCGGAGGGAATATTCTGCGAGCAGAGCCTAGCCTCCTGCAACCCAAGTCCCCAAACACTCACACGCCCTATCACGTACCTCGCAGCCGTACTCACGGCGTCGCACGGACGCTGTTAGAGTTGGAGGATGACGAAAAAACCTCGCCTACCACTGCCTCGTAGCAGCACTCGCTGGCGTCCTACGGATGCTGCGAGCGGCTCGAGGAGGTAGGACGGCCGGGGGGTCTTGGCGACGAAGATGTTGAAGATCAGATCTAACCTGAACCGTTTTTCGGCTCCCCTTTTTACCCCCTTGACTTTTGAAATCCAGAGTTATGTCATCCTGCGCAGCCAATCGTGCACCTACCTGTGATTTTCAACCGTTTCTCTGCCCTTACAAGGAGCGTTCGTCACGTTATTTTACTTGGTCTGTGGCGGTGGGATCCCCTGACCTCATCGTTTGCTCTGCTCGCTTAATATTTCACCCCAGCCCTCTCCCCGATGTCGTGCGTGACTCATTGCGGCTGGCCCGGTGAACCTTTGTGCGCCCAGACAATTTTGCCGCAATTTGATTTGCGCTGTGAGGGTCGGCCAATCTCCTGGCACCGCAATGTGACCTGTCCTGTGGGGGTCGCCCAGTCTCCTGGGAGGGTCGCCCAGTCTCCTGGCACTGGGGAACCCCGGGACTTCCCACCTAGGGGCCCTTCGGATGAAAACCCGTGGTGCCAGGCGATCCCCCGCCGGGATACGACGTGTGTGTGTGCTGCGTGTGTGTGTGTGCTGCGTGTGCTGCGTGTGTGTGTGTGTTGCGTGTGCTGCGTGTGTGTGCTGCGTGTGTGCTGCGTGTGTGTGCGTGTGTGCTGCGTGTGTGTGTGTGCTGCGTGTGTGTGTGCTGCGTGTGTGTGTGCTGCGTGTGTGTGTGCTGCGTGTGTGTGTGTGCTGCGTGTGTGTGTGCGTGTGCGTGTGCTGCGTGTGTGTGTGCTGCGTGTGTGTGTGTGCTGCGTGTGCGCTCAGGGTGGGGGTCAGGGAGGGGGGAGTCGCGGCGCTTGCGGAGTTTCTCCGCGGCCGTGGCACACCACCGCCTCGCCGACAGCGTCGCAGGTCGTCGTCGTCGTCGTCGTTGCTGCTGCTGCTACTTGACCATACTTGACGCTGGTCTGTGCCTGTTGGCGAAGGCGGGGGACAGTCCGACTATGGATGTTGCTGCACTGCTGCTCTCTGCTGTCCGTCACGTAAGCCCAAGCCTATATCACCTGTTACGCATGCTGGGCGCACATCCGAAGCGCTATCCAGGCTCAAGCTATACTCAAAACTGCTCTAGAGGAGTTGTACACCCCTAGCTGCCAGTGCTATTCAGTGGCCTAAAATAAAATGTTTCGCTCCGGATGATCGCTGCAAAGTATGACCTGTGTTTTGATTTAGTGTGCTGATCTTTAAGGTGCATTTAAAAATGTTGATACTCCGACTGATGTTCCTGCTGTTGTGGAGTGACTCATGCAGCCAGCTATGGTCGAAGGGTTTGGTGGTACATGGTGTTTATGTCGTTTATTGTGAAAATTCGGTCACAGTCCCTATGATCACTGTTACATTGCTTTTATGGCCTTATTTTGGTGATTTAGAAAAGTGTTTTGGTTTGGGATTTTTGCACACAGCGTTGGTGTACGGTGCTTTTTCTGCAATATTTTGCTGTCTTTCCTTGGATTTATGTTTGCACTCAGTCACATATTCACTTTAAGATGTTTTCTTGTTCATGTTTTAGTTTTTTGTTTGTTGCGGTTGCACCCGATTCAAGAGCCGAATGGCTCACAGGGCTCTATACCTAATCAATGAACTTGAACTTGGCTTCTAGAACGAGCGCGTTCCGGGGTGGTCAGATACTAAAACGAAAAACAAACTCTAAGCAATTTAAAACTTCTATTCAAATTATAGCGCCAGTATCAAGTTAATACTTGTAACGCTGAACCAATTAGGATTAAATAGTGTTCGTAACCGAGGCTTTAATGCTATTGAAAGCTGCAGTTGATCGATCCATCAATCGATTCATGTTCGTAGATTACTAATCGTCCATAGCATAACATGGGGAATCGATTCTCTGTGAAAATAACGATTCCTCTTGATACGCTGCATGGAGCCCGTCCAATGGTTGGGATCGGAATCGTTTCAATGTTTGTGTTGAATCGAAGGCGGAAAATGTTGTTCATGGCAAGTGGGCGTTGTTGAGGGCATCGATTCCAATGCAGTGGTGGAATCGCGAGGCGATTCGATTAGTTGGTCGCTGCCCGGCAGACGGAGATGTCTGCGACTCACAGAGCCAGGTGAGGGGACCTCGGGGACCAGGGGATAGGGACCAGGGGATAGGGACCAGGGGTTGGGGACCACGGGGACCAGTACTGAGGGATAGACTGTGGGATAGAGACCACAGGGATCAGGACTTGGGGGATAGAAGATGAGGACCCACAGAGCCTGGAACCGGGACTTGGAGTAACATGGACCAGGCACTGGAGGGAGAGATCGGGAACGAGAGGAAGGGAGCAAGGCTCAGCCGCTTTAGTGTTAGGGACCAGGGGATAGGGACCATAGACCAGCGAGTGGGACCAGGTGTTGTGGGCAGTGGCGGGTGTGCCAGGGTCACGTGCTGAAGGGGCCAGGATCCCTGGGCGAGAGCGCCCTGGCGGGGTGGCTTTGGAGAGGATCAGCGGGGACGAGGAACCCCGCGGACGGGGTCGGGGCACGCCAGGGGTCTCGGACCCAGGCGGTTTCGTGAACTCTTTCACGGGACCTCAGCGGTAGAGCTTGCGCCTCGCAATTGCGAGGTTGCGAGTTGAGAACATCGTTGGGGGTGAGTCAGCCCATCGGCCCTCCGAGGTCAATAAAATAGGTACCGCTTGTCCAAGATGTCCCAGACCCACGCCCATCACGAGAATCTGAGTTACCCCCCTGATTGAGGGCTGATGAGAGGAGATGGGTACTGCGTCATTGCTCATTTGATGAGGAAATTACTTCGGCTCATCTGGACCTTGGCTAAGGCTCCACGTGTCATGTCCCGTGATTCGTTTTGCTTGTTAATGTGTGATTGTGTCTGTTAATTGTTACAACTGATTTTGTGGGGAGTGCAGGTGGTGTATTTACCAGTCGTCGTGTCGGGTTTTATTTTATATTACACCGCTTCATCAGTCCGACATTACATATCGTTAGGGGCCATCCGTATAGTGCGCATGTAGCGGAGTAACGCGCAAGCGGTGTGAGTTGTGGAGAGAGACGTCAGGGCACTCAGGTGCGGAGAGCGGCAGCGACCAGAGGAAGTGACCAATTAAGATGATTGGCTGGCTGCACATGCAGACGCGGCGTCGGCGTCTCGGGGTCTGGAGATTGAGGCATAGTAAATAGAGGGGTAGAAAAAGCTTAATAATACTACTTGCACTGCTGGTGGAAAGCCGACTCATGCTGTATTGGTTATGGGGATTGCTTATCCATACTTCACCAGGTGGTCAGTGTATGTTGGTAAAGCGGGCTGCCCAGGCCAAGTTCAGATATGAAAGTTTAAATAAATGTATTTGTTTAACCGGGCGAGAGCTCAAGAGACTCAAGAGAGCAGGTCTCACATGCAATAGTGACCTGGGTCAGCAAACTTAAAGAAGCAAAACAAATAAAATACAGCAATGAAGTACAGCAATATTACCTGCCGCTGATGTCACTCCTGGCTGGGTTCACTCACAGCACAGTGTGCGGCCACTATGCTACTGCCCATTTAACCCATAACACCTGGGTCTGAGCTACCAGCGAGAAACAGACAACTATGGAGGCATGTAAACACATGGGTCGTTTGATAGGTTGGTTTGAAGGTCAGGGTAAGCATTCAACCTTCGTTGAATGGAGATTAACCAATGATTTATGTGGTTTAATTGATGCAATACCAACTGTGCTCTGTGGCACATGCTACGTATAAATCATGTCTTTATCCAGCAATAGATCGTGAATGATCGGGACTCATCTGGGTCATCATCCACATGAGATTATTAAGTTAAAACTGTCGCGTTCTTTGCTCAAGTTATTAAATTATGTTTTATTTTTTTGCTTTTTCACTAAATATTTCGTTTTATTGCGTGCAGTGTCTTGATATGTTTAAGTATATAATTGTAGGGTATTGTGTACTGATGTTGCATGAAACATTTCGTAAATATTTCAAATAATTTGCCATCGCAAAGCAATCTGGAATGTTTTATGGGCCAATTGCCAAAGAGCCAATCTTTGTCTTACTGGATCTCACTGTGTTATATATAGTTATGTCTTATTAGTAATACTGAAAGCAATTAACGGGAACATGTGAGTCACCGCTCGCTCGGTGCCTCTTGAAGTACATAACCACTCATTGTAGATTTCCTTCGTGCATTTGTACTCGGATAGTGCAATTTGTGGATGTTCTTCACTGATGCATCAAAGGTCCCTCCACATTGAGCTTTGAGACCTCACTATTTGGATCCTTGACCCTATACTTCTCCCAAACATTGATATTCAATGCAATATAGCATATTTGACCGTTAAATACCTCGTTTGTTAATTGTGCAACATTCATTAAGAATCATATACACCTCTGCAGTATTGATGTTTTTGTATTTTAATGTTATTGCTACTGTAATCAAGCACAGCAGATCCCCCATGTAAAATATCCTGGCAACTGGCTAAAAGGCACCATCTGTGTGACAAATTAAATAAATTCAACCTTAAACATAGCCACTCTGACCAATTAACCGCCAACACCCAGTGTAGTATTTCTTCATGGTGTAACTGTTCTTTTATATATAAATTCTCACATATCTGATATATTCAAATATCCACCTATACCTCAGTCCCCTGTGAGGTATACCACCTATTTATTATATTTGGATTGGTGCTGGTCTGTGAACTACGTGGTGGCACACACCTGAAATCCAGAGTTTTGGAAGCAAGGGTTAGCGGCTCACGTACATTTGTGAACTCAAATCTGGTGGCATGTGCCTTTACCAATAAGTGGCAGTACAGCAAGTGGAGGCCCTTCTGTCAGGAAGCAGTTGCAAGGCTGTGTTGTATCATTGGCAAAGCTGGCATATGTGGGTCTGCTTGGTGCTCATTGAGCCTCACCCTGGTTTGTCACCATCAGGATTGCTGAGTTCGAGGATCTCCTGGCTGAGGACCACATCAGCCTGGAGGAGCTGCGGAAACTCTGCTTCAATGGTAATTGTGGGCATGTGCCATAGACTTACGTGCATGTGTGCGTGCCTATCTGCCTTCGCATGTGTACATGTGTGTGTGTGTGCTTAACAAGGTCAAGATTTTTTGTACCAGTCTTGGGACTCCCCTAGGTCGACTCGGCTTCAAATGAGTGCCTGGTGTGGTGTGTAAATATCGCCACGTGGGTAACAGGTGTGGTGCTGGCGATCCACCTCCTCGTGTGCCATGCCGGCTTTCATAGGTGCTCGCTAACAGCACTTGCCCCAAAAATATAATAATGAACACATTTGGTAATAATCATTTACTTATTTATCCAGGAAAGCCATATTGGACATAGGACTTTTTCAGGAGGGTCCTGCATTGGGTTTTTGATTTTCAGATATTTTCAATCAATTAATGAGTGTTCAAATAAGTTGGAGGAAAACGGAGCACCTGGAAAAATAATCCATGCATGAGAGGGGGCAACACTCCATTCCCGTATAGATGGAAACAGGTGGCAATTAGACCACTTGCTGAACTGCCTTCTGGAAAGCCAGGGTATGGCACCTCGATACCCATGGAAAAGGAATTTCTCAACATATGTGCGATCCACCAAACCTCGCCTCCACAGTGCAGGATTACAGGCATGTGTCACCACCAGGAGGCTATAACAAAGACGCTGTGTTTCACAGATGGAGCGTGCAGTAGTTTCATAGTAGGGGGTGATGTTGCAGGTATTTTTTCAAATTTGGACCATGACGGCAGCACACAATGGCATACACTTTTTGAATTCACACTGTAAAGCCGATGGTGTATTCTCTAAGGGGACTACACCTGCAGTATTAACCAGGGCGCCCTGCCGGAATGGAACTGTAAACCTCTGCAACATGTGGCGAATGCACTACCGCTGGGCCATGTCACTACCCCATAATCATTAAAGCTATAAAGATGGAGGTAATCATTCGTGTAATACTGCTAAGTAGGTTTTCATGGATCTGATATACAGCTCTCTGATGTGCTTTAGGGTTGTACCGCGTGTTGTTTGGCGCGATGTCCAAGTGTCAAGCACACTCAGGTCAAACAACTCTTCCATGCTGAGATAGTGATGATGCATTCAGACCAAATCACCCAGAATGTGTCCAGTCTCGTCACATCTCAGAAGCTAAACAGTTTGAGCCCGTTTAGTATTTGGATCGGTGACCAGCATGCACACCACGTTGTCATCGGCAAGCGGGGCTGTGGATCGCGGTGGTCCGCCAAGCTTTGTGTAGAAGAATCCATTGTTGTACTGTAATTTCTATGCTCTCCGCCTTCAATCCACACTGACCAGCATGGTGGAAGTACAGTCCACAACCCCCACTACCTTCATTCATTCAATATATGTTTTCGTGTAAAAACTTGGCCCCACGAAAGAGGGCATCGCAAATACTTTATTACAGTATACATTTAACGAAGGTAGTCCTACCTATAAAATCAAGACACGTATACAAATATTAAATGAGGAGACATACTCAAAGAAAAGATAAAAGGAAAAACATAGTCTTGAAGAGTTTCCTGAACTGTTGGTGCTCGGAGCCAATCTGAGGGGCCGGCGGCAGGGAGTTCCAGATCTTAGACGCCACACTCGAGAAGGCCCCTGCTACCGCCCAGCGTAGAATGGAAGATTCTAGGTTGAGCTAGCAGGGCCTGGCCTGAGGAGCGCAAGGTATATCTACCTGACATCTGGGTTGCCATACGGGGCTGCAGGTACTGAGGACCAATGACGTTTTGAGCTTTGTAAGTCATTTCAACAAACTTGAATTGTATGTGATACCTGACTGGTCGCCGGTGCAGATCACGGAGGATTGGTTGTATGTGCTCAAAACGGCTAGCACATCTAAGCATGCGGGCAGCCGCATTCTGCACCGGCTGCAGTTTCCGAACCAGTCCACGGGGCAGCTGATCCTACAAAGCATTTCCATAATCCAGACGCGTTGACACAAAGGCGTGAACCAGTGTTTCGGTGTTCCGAGGTCACGAGCGGATAAGAGGGGTCACAGCCCTCGGAGCACACTTAGATGATAAAACTCCGCTTTGGCCACAGCTGTAAGCTGAGGGTGCATGGTAAACCTACGATTGAACAGCAGCACACCGAAGTTGTGCCCCACTGTTACAGTGAGAGGGTGTACTCCATTAATTAATGGAGGCTCAAGCTCCCCCTGTCCCATCGTCAGCCGACTCTATGGCACGGTGATACCTTTATCCAGCAGTGGATTGACATGTAAATTATGTAGTGATGTTGAATCTGAGCAGCTCTTGTTTTTGCTTTGACAGGTGTTCCTTATGAGTCGGGCATACGGCCACTCTGCTGGAAGGTGAGTTTGCGTGAGGTAATTTAGTTATAAAAATTAATGAAATTCCGCAACTAAAATAAACTACTGTAATCTTGCATTTAGATAATAATAATAAAAAAACACATTTGTCGATAAACCGTGGCCTAAATAATTTATATGAAATACACAACGTTTTGAGCAATGTGTTGTCCTTCCCCCGCACCTCCGATTAGCACGGTTGGCTGCATACGGTGTGAAAGAAGTTCAACGTACATGCATACAATGGCCCTCCTTCATGGCACATACATAGAGAGGCCAGGGAGAGTGGATAATAAGAGTTGGAATTGTACTTCACATCATGGGGCCTGATGAGAATTACATTTTGAAAATATTTTATGACGACCAGTTTTTAAATTGACATATGAATAGTAACACTCAAATTAGCTATTGAGTAACAGACAAACCATTCAATATTGAAGTGTTACAAGTTCATTGTCTTCAGGTCCCATGATGTAAAGTCCAGGCTTAAATTAATCTGAACATTTTTTAAATAAGTTGCTCATTACATTACATTGTTCCAAAACATCCCTAGATCAACGACAGAGAGAGCCTTAATACATGACGAAAACAACTGGATTGAGTTCCTACTGATGTTAGTGGACTATGCTAGTTTTGCGCTCACTACTGCTATGGGTAAACTATCCTCACATTAGGAACGTGGATCTCTCACCGCTGGTTCGTGGCCACCATTGAACATGAGTGCTGTTTCATTGATCGCTTGAGCACGGTCAAGATCAACTTCAGGTCAACATCACATTTTCTTTCTCTTGACAGATCCTGTTGAATTACCTGCCCTGCAAACGGTTAGAATGGCCTGTGTTCCTGCAGAAACAAAGGTAAGAATGTGCTCAATAATTGGGTAATTTGCACAAATTTTGTGATTTCCCCGTGACCAAATCACTTGGAATGTGTGTTGTCCTTTCAATTCTAAGCTAAGCAGTTGTTAGCCTGGCTAGTGCTTGGATGGGTGACCAGCTAGCACAAACAGACCTGGACAGCTGCGGGGCTACGTGATCAGCAATAGATGGCAGTGCCGCAAACTCCATTGTTGTTCTGTACCTCTATGCTTCCACATCTGTGCTCACCTCCATCAGCTACACTGAAAAGCGTGGTGAGGTATGTAAAATTTTCTCATAACGCCGCAAGGCATGGGAAGGCCCTCACCCAGCAGTGGATTGACAAAAGGGTTGTACATGGCATTGGAGAGCTGTGTGTTGAGATGTATAGGTTGTTGCTTTGCCCTCACTGTTTTACAAGAGCTTGCATGTTTGTTAATGATAAATGAAACTTAAAAGTAGTCAGGCGTATCTCTATGACACTCCATCAATGTTTCATGTAAATTTAAACTGGCTTAGTGGAGAATGTTTCGGCGTCCAAGTCGGTCATAACATTCTTTAGTGTTAAGATTCTCCTTAAGTCCTGAAGCATTACCAATAGCCAAGATCAATCGACTGCTGGAAGAGAGATTTTCTAAACTATCGCCATATCTCAAACTCTCGATGCAACAATCCATCTAGCGCCAAAACACGAGCGGATTTCATCCCTCCATCCCCGCAGTGTGTGTCCTTACGTGCGCATTCCCTCCTTTGGCTGCCGTTCTGTCATTAGTCTTGAGAAGCAGTCAAATGTCCTGCACAAGCCCACTTACTTTTATTAAGAGTCAACATGGCTTGTGTATGTTCTCTCATTCATGTGTTCCTCTTCTTGTCGCTCAGTGTAAATCCAAGCATGCACATTTCCATTTTGTCAGTCATCCACGTTTCTGTTCTGTATGCCATAATTGATAATTATATACACTAATTAATAGTCCTGAATAAGTTAATATTTTTTTCACCATTTGTATGTGCTTTTGTGTGTGTCCGTACATATTAGTATACAGCTCAATCACAAAACAGAATAGAGTTTCGCTTCATAGACTGGTTTGCCTGCTTGTTTTCTTTATGCGGCTCCTTACAGGCACACTGGGAGGAAACCAGGAGATTAAAACGAGAGGCTTTCACTCAACATCTTTCAAGGGTCTGTCATGCTGCAGCCAGTGTGCATTTACTATTAACTTTTGGCCTGCTGACGTGCGTGTATTTGGCAGAAATTTGTACCGGCAATTTTTGCGGGAAATGATTCTACAACCTGGAGCAGCCAAAGTGAAGCATGGAATCATTCGGGAAGACGTCACGTTCGAGGATCACGTACGTTGTCTCCAAATATCTGCCAAGAATAACTCATTCACTCTGATGGTGGTGGCAACACATGCCTGTAATCCAGCACTGTGGAGGCGAGAGTTGGTGGCTCGCACAAATGTTGTGAAACTCTCTTCCCATAAGCGTTGAGGTGCCATACCCTTGGCTTGCCAGGAGAATGCAGTGCAGCACAAACGTGGACTCCATCTGTTCCGTCTGTATTAGAAAGTGTTTACCGCTCCACACGCATGGGTTTTCTCTGGGTGCTGTCGTTTCCTCCCACATGTAAACATAACACCTTAATATATAGAGGTCCGCAGAGTGTGGGAAATTGTTGGTGCTGACTCATCGTGCGACTGCCTTCCAGTTTGTCTGTGGGTCCTCCACACGCCTCTAAATCGTTTTGTGTACGATAATGAGTGAATACTGAGCGGCAAGTTGGAATGTATGATATTAGTCATATGTATGTATGTTCAGTTCATGTTTTTGTCTACAGCTTTGACCTCTAGAATTGCTTTTATTCTTCACTTTATCTGCTATTTGCTTAAGAGGCTTATCTTGCCAAACAAACAGAATGGCACCATTGTTTTTATTTGTTTTGCAACTTGTTATTTGAGGTACACTTTTTGGTTGGTAAAATGTGGGACTGCAAGACAACTTCTCCTTGCGAATGACATTCCCCGGGTGCTCAGCACAAACTGTACTCAGTTCCTGTTATGCCTTTTAAAATAGAGAGCTTGTGACTATGGAAACAAGTTCCCAGCTGTTATCTACAAAGGAATACAGTTTTCTGATGGATGTGTGAAGCGCACAGTGACTGTACTGATGTTTATCAGTCATATGTTCATGTTGTAGTACCAGAGTAATGTTTAAAAATTTCTAATTATTTTTTAAATAATGTTTCTTTACGGAATCAACTACAGCGTGTCTTCTCAAAGTTACATCTCACCACACATGCATCACGGGTCAGACATTCTTGATGACAGCAAAACATACTTTTACATGTGTGATACATAACGCCTTGTTCAGAAACTTGAAAAGACCAGTAAACCTGCTGGCTACGCATGCATCTAATCCAGCACTGTGGAGGCGAGGGTTGATGGACCACATGAATGCTGTGAAACGTCCTTCCTGTGCATGGAAAGGTGCCTTACCCTAGTTTGCCAAAACAGCAAGATGTGAATCCACCTTTTCCATCTCTGTGGGATAGAGTGTTGCCCTTTCGCACAAGTCGATTTTCTCTGGGCGCCCTGGTTTCCATCCACATGTAAACACAAATTAATTGGGCGATAACTTAATATGTAGAGGACCGCAGAGCTTGTGGAGGGGGAATTGGCGGCGGTTCACTGCTTGGCTGCCTTCCCGCTCATCTGGGGTTTCTCACGATTCCGAGTCGTTCTCCGTCTTTGAGAGCGAGCGAATACTGTGCGGCGCATTAAAATGTGCAGCCAACCGGTTAGTTATGTACGGTGCGAAAGAAAGTCATCACACATACGTTACTAAAAGGTGGATTGTGATGCGAGGCATGCGTACTGGAGTGTAACATCAAATTGTACCTGCTTCGATGTCCTCTCATCTCCATGATCTAACTGGTGTATCTCTGCCATTACAGCCGCTGAACCCGAACCCGGACAGCCAATGGGCAAGCTACTTCAGAGACAATGAGGTTCTGCTGCAGATTGACAAAGACGTCAGGTAACGCCGCCTTCCCACTGGTGAAACATGCGGGCGTGGAGTTCACGGTTAGCGCACTGCAATGCAGAGGTGACCGGTTCAATTTGATCCTCTGGCACAGCATTTAAAACAATGGTGCAAATTACTTAAATCTCCCCCACCCCCCTCTTCAATCTCAGTACTCGACTATAAATGGGTTCATCACAGTTTATCGGCTTGGTGGGGTGAAGTTAGGGTATTCCTACCTCTTCCAAGGTGTCTAGTCAGCATGGAAGAGTAGGCCAAATACCTTATACAGGGTTCTATAGAACTATCTCTAGTGAAGGCCCGACTGTCAGCAGTGGTGGCGTTAGCAGGAAATTGCAGGGCTGCACTTGTTTCTTTACCTTGGGCCCATAGTTGTGCCTAATTATATCTCCCTTCACCTGTACGTGTGCAGGCGGCTATACCCGGACATGGCGTTCTTCCAGCGCGCCACGGACTTCCCGTGCCAGCTGCTGCGTGATCCGCAGCACAAGTCGGAGACGCTGCGCAAGCGCGTGGAGCAGACAACGCTGCAGGCGCTCAGCGTGGGACGCACGCGCATTGGCGTCACCAACGTGAGCGGGCGCGGCGCCACAACCGCCACCACTTCGAGATGCTGCAAAGAAAGCGCGCACCCACAGGGCAATGGAAACCAGCAGCATTGTTGTATCATGCTCCCGCAGAGATGCCAGTACCCGTACCATTATCGTAGCGTGCACCGCTAGAGCTGCCAGCACTAGCTACGGTATCATCATAGTGTGCACCGACAGGAACGAGACACGCCAGCAACAACAGCTGCCATTCGTCATTAAGTGGTGGTGACGTCACCATGGTGCTTCTGCCAGGCCAGGTGCACTTTGAGGCCACGTGAAGTGTCGTAGGCTCACTGGCAGGAGTTCACAGGACAGACCCCAGTGATGGGTTGATGGACTGAGATGACTGGCAGATGTACCAGCTGTGCCCACCTACCGTGTCAACTGTGACACGCCAGCACCACCACCATTACCAGCACCAACGTTACAGATCCCATCAGCACCATCATCAGCACCATCATCAGCAGAAGTATCGTCGACAACATCATTACCTCCATTATTATCAGCGCTAACACCAGAAGCAGTACAACTATTACCGCTGCTAGCACCACCATCACAGGCAGCATCACCGGCAACAGCAGTGCAATTGCCACCACTGCTGTCACTAGAAGCAGTAGTCCCGCCAGCAGCAGCAGCACCACCTCAGTTCACTGCCATGCTCAGGCACTCAGGCATAGACTGTAAATACCAGCATTTGGTTTCACTGGTGTCAGTGTTGTTGGCACGACCAGGTGAATCGGCTGAAGAAAGCGGCACGCTCATCAGTGGAGTAGCACGCCAGGTGATTTCATCGTAGGATTTCGATTGCCGTCTGAGCATGCTAATTGTGTTTGCGAACAACTGAAGCAGTCTCATGGTAACTGAGCATGGTGGTGCACGCTTCCAATCCAGATATTTTGAGGCCGGAGGTTAGTGATTCACACGCAGATCTGTTAAATTGCCAAACCCACTGCTCGGCTGTAAGTGCGGCCAGGTTATTGGCATTCAGCCATGTTGTGGTGTGCCAAACACTGTCTAAGGCATAGCATGCACACACGACCGCCTATTTCCTTCCCCCACACCTCTGATTAGCACTGTTGGCTACATATGGTGCGAAATAAATTCAACATATGTACATAAGCGCTGCGGTGGCTAGATGTTATCTACCTCACCTGGTGTACAGGAGGTTGTGGGTTTGATCCCGACCCTGACGCCTGTATATTTGGAGTTTTCGTGTCTCTCTCCCCGTAGTCGCAGGGATTTTTCTCTGGATCCTCCGGTTTTTCCCTCCACATTTAGGATCAAAATGCATTTAGAGCATTTGTCTGCTATAAATTTCCACGTGATAAGCCAGTTTGTTGAGCTATCACTTGTGATAGCTAGATCGCTTCTGAAAGAGCTGTAGACCTCAGTGGTCCTTACCTGTTAAAATTAAAGTGTCAGTTATTATAGTAGTTTACATATGTACATCTGATGCCACGTGGTGTTTGTCGGCGGCACTGCCAGGTGATGCGGCCCTAAGAAGGTGGTGCGCTCGTCGATGGAGGAGTATGCCGTACTGCCCGATGGGCAGGAGGCGCACTGGGAGGTGGTGGAGCGCATCCTGTTCATCTTTGCCAAGCTCAACCCGGGCATCGCCTACGTGCAGGGCATGAACGAGATCGTGGGGCCCATCTACTACTCATTCGCCACGGACAGCAGCCCCGAGTGGAGGGGTGAGGGAGGACACATTCTTTCGGCGAAACTCGGCGCGCACAGAGCAACGCCAGCACAAGCGGTTCTTTTTATCTGTACATTTGCAAAAGTATTTTGCTCCGACAGCTACCCTTTGGCTTCTGTACCGAATTTAAATACTTTTGGCGACATGTGCATGTTAGAAAGCATTACAGAATCCATTTCATTCGTGCAATTTTTCGTAACTTTTTTATTTTGCCATTGGCTGCGCTGGCGTTGGCGGCGGTCACGCGCGTGAATGAATGCAGAGCACGCCGAGGCCGACACGTTCTTCTGCTTCACGAACCTCATGTCGGAGATCCGCGACAACTTCATCAAGAGCCTAGATGATTCACAGTGTGGGATCGGGCACAACATGCAGCTCGTGTACAGCACGCTCAAAGAGCGAGACCTGGAGCTCTACATGCGTCTGGTCGGGACACCCACCCGCTCACGCACGCACGCGCACCGTGTCACTCGCGCACGTGCATTCAATCGCGCACGCATTAATGCAATATAAGTAATTGAGCGCTCAAAAAAATGGTTGGAAGCTGTTATAAAAACGCATCTACTGGGGGGGCGGCTTACCCCTTGAGTGAGCCCAGTATTTTGCGGACGCACTGCAATTGACGCGCGTGCGGCACGTGACCCTGCAGCAGGAGCAGAACATCAAGCCGCAGTTCTTCGCGTTCCGCTGGCTCACGCTGCTGCTGTCGCAGGAGTTTCTGCTGCCCGACGTGCTGCGCATCTGGGACTCGCTCTTCTCCGACACACGCCGCTTCGACTTCCTCATCCTCGTCTGCTCCGCCATGCTGATGTGAGAACATGAAAGAAGATCAAAAAACATACATACATACGTACATATAGAACGCTTCGCCGCAGCAGTGTCTCCTGCACCGTTCACATCGGCAGGACAGCGCCAAGGCTGTCTGCAATGCCGAAGACTAATTATTAAGTTTAACATGTAGGCTTTCGTGACCAATATCCATAATACAGGTTTCTTTGGGTTAGATTGCGTAAATTGAAATGTGTCGTTAAACCCGCCACCACCAGATGCAGCCAATTAGTAAGGTTTGCCACGTCAACAAAACATGCCAATTCGTTACTAGAGAGTAAATCCACAATATTTACAATCTTAAGTACGACGTTTTGCCAGTAATTACAACCGGCATCATCAGGCGGACAGCCAGATTTGTGGAAAAATCCTCTTGTTTCATTCCTTAAATAGAGGGATAGATGTGATGACGTCGCTTGGGAGCCTTTCACGTGCGAAGGGGAGGGATGAATGAATGCATATAAAAGGCTCATTTTTTCATTTTAGCTTTTCCTTGAGTATGTCCTCTCATTTTGATATTTTTTATATGTGTCTTGATTTTATAGGTTGGACTACCTTCGTTTAATGTATACTGTAAAGTATTGTGATACCCTCTTCAGTGGGGAAGAGTTACTACTAAAACTAAATTGAATTAATAAATGAACACTACATCGCTCGCTTTCAGATGCACTTCTGCGGCCGTCTGGAACACTCTTCCTTTCTGATATTAGGAAGCCACTGGAGCTATGCACTTATAAATCTGGATTAACAACTAATTTCTTCATAACTGCTTTTTGTGTTTAGTTTGTTATCCTTCCCCCGCACCTCCGATTCGCTTGGTTGACCATATACGGTGCGAAAGAAATTCAATATACATTCATGCAGATGTAAGAAGTTGTTGTGAGATACAGAAGGCGAGGCCGGTGATCTCCATGCATCCTACCCCCTCACCAGTGAGGAAGCCTCCAGCGGACAGGAGTGAGCTGTTCACTTGTGGAGCGGAAACATGGAGACTGACAAATACAATTGAAAGAAAACTGAAGAGTGTGCAAAGATGCTTGTTTAGAATTAATCTGAGAGAGAAAGAGGAACACGTTGATTAGAGAGCAAACACAAGACACGTCACTCAAAGGAATAGTGGCCGGAGGTTTAGACTAATGATGGAGTGGCAGCCAAATGACCTGGATGGATTGCTGCTTTGAAAAATCGTGAGAAGTGGTTCCTGTTTGGGAAAGCCTACATACAGCAGTGATGTGATCATGACTGCTGTCGCTGCTGCTGATGAATGGATCGGTGAGTGATTATTCGTGCTGTACCGTGAGCAGGCTCATTCGAGACCGGATGCTGCAGGGCGACTTTGCTGTGAACATGAGGCTTCTGCAGGTAAAGTACACAATTGTTTAGACAAACTCACACAGCTGCTTGTTCGGCAAGTATCCATTCATGAGTCGTAGAAATACAGGATCGCAGTTTTTTATTGTTTTTGTCTCATTTATTACCTTACTCTCATTTTTGTGCGTTTCATCTTGATTAGCATATCATTGGCCTACAATTTACATACATTATAAATAGACGATTCTCGCATGCGTGATTCGCTGCGTGTATCTTGAGCGTAATAATGTTGATTGATAAGTCGAAGCATCGCATGCCTATACGATAATATCTTGAGAGGCAGCACCATTTACATTCTATATGTGTAGTAAAGGCTACAGAAGCCGGACTCAACTAAGCTGGAATTCGGGGTAAGCCTGAAGGCAAACTCCAATGACTTCATCAATATTAAAACAATAAAACTCGACCATGCCAATAATGACTTGTTAGCAGGTGACGTATATATATGAAGATTCTGAGGCCTCGCCAGGCAGTGCTCGTCTTAATCAACGTTAGTGGAATGATGACGATGATGAGTAAAAGTTGACCCTGCCCAGCGTTTTGACTTGCAAACTTCATATTTGGAGAGCCCTTAAAATCTATGAGCGGAGCAACTGGAAATGTTTGTGCTGAAAACCATGGTGCAAGTGACAGTGCTGTTGGTTTGTTGGTGGTCAGCTGTTTTGTGGTGTGATATTAACGTGGGCGGGCAGGTGCATGCATGAGGACGTGTGAACCGTGATTGGTTTGCCAACGTCGCCATCGTGGAGCAACCCTTCAGCAGTGACCTGTGCTCTGCACCAAACTCGAACATCATGTTGCTATGCTCCACTTGCAGGACTACCCCATTCCAGATGTCCAGCCCATCCTGAAGAAGGCAACAGAGCTAAGGGAGTCCTCTTGACAGCCGCTCCTTTTGCCACGCGCTCCTAACGTTCGACGCCCAAAGGACTGCCGCTCCTACCCTGACGCAACAGCGCTGGGGGCGCTACTGAGAAAGCGGCCGGTGATTTCTCCCCATCACAAGCTGAGCGGAGCGTGCCATCGGACGGCCCATCCTAGTTTAAATTATGGCGTTATTTCTGGAGTCCATGTGCATTACTTTGTTTTCTTTTTCCATCTCTTTCCAAAAATCCGAATTGAATTTGATATCAGCATCGTGGCGTGATATGAAAAATACTTTCAGATATCTCATAACAGTGCAAACCTTTGTGTTAGAGAACAGATCATGAAAGCAGATATCACAGAGCTACATCTAAGATCCCTTCAAGTGACCTCCGTTCGACAAAGTAGGCGGCAGCATTTTTCCACCTGCTCTTACATCCTGAGAAAGATATTCATTGTGTGACAGTCAAACCGATTGACAGTCAAACCGATATTTTAAATTTCTCAGCACAAATTGAATGTGATGTTCTATTTGTGCAGTCATTTGTGACGGTGCAAAGACTTATCAACTCACCGCACTGGAAAACTTGGTTTGTTTAATCACAGGCAGTTGTCTGAATTGGAACCCGGGGTCTTGGCAGGTAAGCTCTGATCCACTCAGTCATCTCATCCTTGTGCATTACTTTCCTTATCGTTAATTAATTGTATTTGTTCGAAGAGAAATATGTTAAGTCATTTAATATTCCCGTCTCCGGAAATAATTCATATTGATAGATGGCGTCACTGATGTAGCTTTTATTCAAATTGCAGATGAGAAGTTTAAGCAATGGTTTTACGGTGCTTTTAATGTGACGACGTTGCATTGAGCGGCCACTAATTAAGCCTCATCGATCTATTGCTGGAAACTGGAAGAGAGTGTAGTGCAATTGAAGTGTATAACCACTGCTGGATAATAATCCAGCTTTAATTATTTTGATACAAAACAAAAAGCATAGAATTCATTTTCTCCTTTGGAGAGCTGATGTTAAGTCATGGATGTGAGTACCATCGGGACATGATTATGAAAATGAAACTCTCAATGAAGTGCTTATCCACTCGTCATAAATGCACTCCATCTCATCCAATCTACAGAGCTGAGCAGGCTTGAGTGGTTAGCACTCGTCCGGGTGACCACCAGGGCTTTCCAGGTGTTGTAGGTGTGTGGCTGCCACGTGGCCAGGGGATAGGAGCGCTAAGTGTTACTCCCTCGTGTGCGTGGGTATTCCACGCGTTCTCCTTGTTCCTCCCAAATGAAGCCAAACACTTAGTAATGGCATTGGCCCAACATACCAATGCACGGCCCTCCTGAAAAATAGTCTTGAGGCTCACATTGAAAACTTATTTCTGAAGAACTAATTTTCGTGTTTAGTTTGTTGTCCTTCCCTGCACCTCTGATTAGCACAATTGGCTACGTACGGTGCAAAAAAAGTTCAACATACATACATACATTGAAGCTTCACTGAGTTAATTCATTTAAATCTCAGCAAATCAGTACTAGAGTTCTGCATAAGCTCTAATGCATTACAATTGTACAGTGATTGTTTATTACAGAGGTAGCACTCCTGGTTCTTGGCAACTTAATATAGTTTGTAATCACCAAATTTCTCCTACGTCATGGAAATCAATTCGGATGTCTCGCAGAGCAGTAAGTCCCTTAATGTTAGAGAATAGCCACAGAAGTGGATACAACAGAACTACCTCTGAGACCCCCTAAGGTGACCTCTGGTTTATACAGTTGGGGTAGTACTTTTCCACCCACTGCCACTGAGAGTAATGTTCATCATAACAGTCAAAAGAAAAGTTAAAGTGCTGCCAAGTGGAGCCAGGAGTTGGCCAATAACAGCATCGTTGATCATGTGGGCCTTTTCCACCAATCAGAAGTATGGCTCGGCTGTCCTGCTTTTCGGTTTTAGTTGTAATTCAGCAAAGGACGTCCCCCGGATGATGAACACTTGCACGTGATTGGTGGCTGATGCGCCGTTGCACTTTGACAATTCCTCTTGACAGTCTTAGAGTCTCTGCCTTTATGGAGAGCTTATTTTGCTGCGTGGTATTTCACAATTAGGGCAAATGCATAAAAGGCAAAAGTATCTGGGATTGGGGTACATTGAACCACGCCCTCAGAATCTAAGACTTAAGCTGCTTTTAGAAATGTGAACCTACATTGAAGCCACTTATTTGAGACTGATTATTTGGTAGATTAATTAAATGTTATTATTTTATTACTGATACCTGGAATAGTTAACTGAACATCTGTTGCACCTCTCTGTAAGTGAGAATTGATTACATAGTTAATTACAAATGTGAAAACTACAAAACATATTAACGTGTTGGCAAATCTGCTCCTTTTGCATCTGATTTTGTGTAAAAATGTGATCCTCTGTCAGTTACCAACGAAAGGGCAGATCAACAAGATTCGTTTTGTAAAATTGTGAATTAGTCTCAAGATGCCGTGTCTGGAGTCGGAACATAACATGTCTCTTGTGTTCCCTATGTATACTGCAACCCGTCTCTTGAAAATTGTGTTGAAAGACAACAATCAACTGTATATCTGCACACGTGGTGTATAGTTTGTATCCAATGTTACATTTACAGGATTTCCAGTCTCATCTGCTACATCTTTATTTGTTGATAATTCCTGAGTCTGCGATAGACAAATGTTAACTAAGGAGCTGGTGTTAACATGTTTACCCATTCTAAATGCACTCCGAAATATTAATAAGGGAAATAATTTCCTTGCCAATTTGCTGCATAGCACAGTAGCCATAGATTATCATTCATAGGCAGTGATAGAATGAGTTCGTATCCCACCCAGGGTGTAGCGATTAGCGAGTTTACTGCTGAGCCGATTGTTCTGTGTCAACACTTTGGTTCCCCTGCGGATGCCCAGTCGTTTATGCGTGGAACTACTTGCCTAGGTTAAGCTTTGAGGTCGACATTGACGACCGTTTGTCATAATTCACCCGTAACCTCTTTTCCACTGGCACATCCGGGCCTAGCCAGCACCCTCAAGGTACGGGTGGTTTTTCACTGGCTTGCCATGCCGAGCTGAGACCAAACCTTGTACATACGTATGTATGTTGAACTTCTGCACCGTACCTAGCCAACCGCGCTAATCGGACGTGCGGGGGAAGGACGAGGAAACCTTGATATGCGAGCCTCAAAAGAAAGTCGAACGAGGCTCGGGCCAAGCAGGGCCAGTGTCGGAGTGTGTTCGTTGCATGCAACGCATCGGGTTAGGACGTACACCAGGAGGATACAGCGCAACCGTACGTGTGCATCTTGCGCTAGCGGCATGGCTCGGTTTCTGCAGTGGAAAAATAAACTGACGGGAGCTGAGCCGTGCCGGGCTGGCTTAACACGACTTGTTTGTGCAGTGGAAATGAGGTATATAGTCGGTCACCGTGTGCTATTGATGATGGTCGTGATTCTGAATAGCCTCGAATAGAATCGCACAAAATGTCTACATTTTGCGTGGTGTTTGTGTACGCACTGCTTGGCGACGGTTCGCACCGAGGTAAACGGAACGATCGCACACAGGTGTCAATGCTCTCATCTTGACTTGGTGGCGAGATGTTATATCCCTCGCCTGGTATGCAGGAGGTCGTGGGTTCGATCCCGGCCCTGACGCCTGCTGTATAGTTGGAGTTTGCATGTTCTCCCTGTAATTGCGTGAATTTTTCTCTAGGTCCTCCAGTTTTTCCCTCCACATTTAGAAACATGTGTTTAGAGTATTTGACTGCTATAGGTTTCCACATGATAAGCCACTTCGTTGAGCTATCATTTGTGGCCAGGTCGCTTCTGAAAAGAGCTATCTAGCCCAGTGGGCCTTACCTGGTAAAATAAGAAATAGTTTAAGTTTTATAGTTTGTTCACTCAGCAGCAATTTGTATGAAAAATGGAAAGTATTTTTGTTCTGAGTTAATAATTTACAGGAGAGTATAAACCTGGGATTACCTGCTGCTTCTGAGAGATTGTGTTATTTTATAGCACATTTTGTTACTTTTGTAAACGTTTTTCTACGTTTGTGAAGTACCAAGTGATCTGTCAGTATATATAGATGGACGCACACAGACGGTTACTGCTCCCGACTTGAAATCGATTTTATCTTCACGTTTTTTTTGTTTGAAATGCAATCTCGACTTTTTTTCAATCTGTTACTGATTAAAAATAACTGACGTGAAATATTACACTCGTTATTAATGTTAGCATGCCAAATGATGTGCAAGTCTTGCCTTTTGCTATTGTGACGCAAGTTGTCGATTCGCCGACCTCAGCATCATGCCCAATGTGACTACCTAGGCGTCCGTGGATCTCATCCGCTTTGAAACGAATGAGATTAGGGAAAAGGTCGCATATACATTACAAACTAGGCATGTACCAATTTTTATTTAACATGCTAAAACATTCTTAAGCTCATGGTCATCATGATCATCATGAGCCCTACTCTTGCATTGCTGAATGGAGACCTCCCCCCAAGCTGTCGTAAATTTTCACGATCCTGCAATGCAACAATCCATGAAGCACTTGTACACGAGCTGGTTTCATCGCTCCATCTCCACGGTGAACGCCCTCTCGGGCGTGTTCCCTCACTTTTGAGGCCATATTGTTGTATTCTGGATTATCGAACATTGTTCGTTCTAGAAGTTTGTTCTTTCCAAGTTTACATGTGTTAACAGTCGATATGATGTCTCACATGTGATGTCTAACATGTGTTAACAGTTGATATGTCTAACATGTGCAGATTGTGTGTGCCATCTGTTCTCGCTCGGTGCAATTCATAGCATGAACCTCTTCATGCTTTTTCATGCACTTTTTATTTCCATTCTCTTTGTCAACGTCGGTGTTTCTGATCCATGTCATAGTCGCTAATATCTACTGATGTATCAAAGCTGACCATGATGAAGAGACGAGGTATGTGTCTGAAAGACATCATTTTTGGGGGGTTGTAGCCTCCTATGAGTCAGTCAATTTATCAAGAGTGTCTGTATGGGGAGCGTGCAAAGCATGCATGTGGGTGACGTATCAGCGACCGAGAACCAATTTGAACGCTATTAGTAAATGATGATAAACTCATCGGACAGAAGCGTGCACGCTGTAAACAATAACACTAACGCAAGTCAAAGGAGATCACTCAACGGCAAAAGATGCAATTTTAACCATATGATCAGTCCTTCCATCATACCTTGCATGTATGTTACGTTATGATCATGCCATGTGGACAAGGATAAGGGTTCGCATTGGGCACTTAAATGCCCCACTAATTTGCGAGTGTTTTTCAAGTTTGAACCATCACACCAGCACACATGACGAGCTTTTTTTCGAATAATGTGGGTGGTTCGTATTTTGTGGATCTTCTTTCGTACGGCTGATGTAGATGAAGAGTGACGATTACATTTTGTGATAATCTACGTGGCAGTATTAGCCAAGGTGGCTGAGGCCTTGCTTTGCAAACCTATGCTGCAAATGGTAAACGTTCTACAGACCGCTCAGCAATGTACACCGCAAGGCATCGTGTGGTCACAATTTACACTTTTCCATCTACAGATCGATCACCCTTTGATTATTGGAGAGGCAGAGGTATGAGTGGCTACACAAATGCCATTCCCCTCTAGACATCGCCACGGGTGTCGCTGTATCAGTGAACATACATTGCTGTCATGATGTCCATCCTAACAAGAGGTTGTTGTTTCCAGAATTGGTGAAATGGGGTCAACACGCTGACATTGCTGAATTACCACTCGTGGACGTTGTTGACTGACAAGACGAGTGTTGATCCCTCGTGTGTTCGATTCCAGGATTGCAGGTGCCCTAACCGAGGTGTTTAGGCCCGTCCACATCTGACTGATCAGTTGCGAAACATGTTGATTTCAGTAGAGAGTCCACATTTGGGAATTATGTTACTATCCTGACGTGGTGGGGGGTTGAGTTAGCCAGGAAAGGAGTGAAGCTGTGCTGTAATGCGCGTGGCCTTATGCTTTAGTCAACATCCTCGTTGCGCAACCACTCGCCGAGGCGTGGACAAAGCAGTTGTCGGCAACTAAGTGACGCGATTTGGTTGCGTAACAGATCGCTGACGTGTGGACTCGGCGTTAGGTGGACTATTCCACAAGGTCGAGTCTAAGGCTGACATCGTCTAGCACTGTCTGTGTAGCGGGCAGCCTGGATCCTGACACAATCATGCGAGGCGCACATTCATATTTTGCCTATCGCGGTTGAGCCCTACATTGGCTGCGTTGGCATTGAACCCTAGGATGCAACTCTGGGTCCCAGAGACCTGGCATGGTGTCTTTGGTATGCACTCAACTCTCGTTTATCCGGGGTAATGGGGGGAAAGGATAAACCCGCAGACTCGACCATTAGAACTGGATAGTATTCCAGAACTCCATTCTATTGATACAATAACATCTCTCTCTGCTGCTGGTGTAAAGGGAATGTAATACATTATCAGAAATAACACTCGGCTAAATTTCTATTTAAAGCTTTCGTGACTGCAGGGATTCATATTCTTCGTTCTTTCGGTAAAGTCACGTAGAAGGGGGAAAAAAGTGCCAGTTCCAGTATACTCACAGACATGTTTATAATCGCTATGCTGCACCGTACAGCGATATTTTATTATGTTTTAATTGTATTATTTTATTATTTCCCTTCTACGTGACTACCGAAAGAACCAAGAATATGAACACCCGGCTAGGTTAAAATTGTTGCATCAAATTGCGTTACGTCATAGCATTCCAAGCCTGCAGTGGTTCTAAGTATAGTTGGCATGCACCCTGGTGGAAGGATACAATGCCCCAACACCATCCTATGTCGCCCCTCTTTGTAGCTCAGCGCCTGGGCTCAACAGTGCCACTGCGACTTCATTCGTTTGCTCACCTTGACGTTAAATTAGTACACGGGATAAAGGCAATGCTTGGGACTTTGCGTGGCTAAACATTTCAACTGGTTGAAGCCATTCACCTTGTGCAATGGAGATCCAGTGGCTAACAAAATAATATCCGTTGCAAGGCATCAAGTCTGCATTAAGCATAAGTACTTGTGGCAAAACACACACATGTTGTGATCAAACAGTCTTTAAAGTTGATTGTCTCATAACAGATACAGGCTGCTCTGTGGCATTGTCTCACCAGTGTTAGACCAGAGAACGCCAACAGGCGAACAGTAGTACAATAGCAATACAAGTATGGACTTACTGATAGCTGGGGTTGAGCAGTTATTTGAATAGCTATTTTTTTGCCAGAAAGGGCCAAAGCCTCTTATTTTTCCATCATTTTGAAACTGGCAAAAAGGTCCCAGAGACAACAAAAACAAGACCCGCTTCACTTGTATCGCGATGGACTCGGGAAACTGCGTGCAGCTCATTGTCTCTCCGCGTGTCGCCGCCCACAGCGGGACGTTCGGATGTCACGCAATGAGCTTGGCAGTGTGCGGCGTTCGGATGCAAATGAATGGTTACTGCTGCGTAGTTTCTTTTTGTCGGCTGCCTTGTTGCTGTTCGTTAAACAAAGGCACACATAGAGGAGGTCAAAATAAAGTGGAGTCTGAGTAAGTCCGTCTGCCGCGTGCATTGTTTACTTCAGCCGCAGAGAGGCGGTGGCAGTTTCGGTGATGTCGGTTTGCCACCTGTCCGGGTTTGACTGAAGCCAAGATGCTAAATACGTGGATTGGCGTTATCAGCATGACACCTTTCAGTACTGGTCTTCGCATAGCACACCCGGTACAGTATTCGTTTAAGGCCGAGTTGCCCTAGGCGAGCCCATGACCATTCAGATTCCTCATGCCACACCACGCTGTGCCCACGAGATGGCATCAGCTGCTCGCATTCACGCGCGCGTGCGTGTTCCTGGGATGTTCTCGCGAACAGCGCTTACCTCATTTCGCAGGGGGCGGGGGGCAATCTTTGTTCTGGTGATCATCTTAACCGGTCCTGGGGCTCCCTTAGATCGACTCCGCATTAAATGAGTACCGTGTGCGATGTGTAAACAGCACACTGGGACCACCCACCGCCGCGTGTGCTGTGCCTGCCTTCTTCATAGGCGCCCGCGAACAGCACTTGCCCCAGCAGCCTATGTGGACCACACAGGGGGAACCTTTGTCTTTGTGAGCAGTGGGGAGCGGTGGTGCACTGGTGTGGCGCACTCCACTTCGACCTGGCGGCTTGTGTTGTTTGTCCGCCAGGGCTGACACCAGTGGCAAGTGGAATCTGAATCTGTTCTGGGGTTCGCCAAGGTGAACTCAGCCTTAAATGAGTACCGTATCTGGTGAGCTGTGCGAACCTCCGTACTGAAGACAAAGGGGGCCGGGCGTCTTGCTGATAACACCAACCCACTTACAGTGTTTACCGTGGTGGCTTCAACTGGTGCTCACTGACAGTGAATGGTCGTACGGGGGATCTTTGTTTTGGTGTTGTGTGTGTGCACATCTGCTGAATGTGGGTTTCAACCCCGGTTAATGTCTGCAGGACCATTCCTGAAAGTCTCCAGACTTGGTGTGGCTCTTCTGGTAAAATAATACATTATTTAAAAAAAAATCATGACCGTGTCAAAGGTTGTGCTTTGTGCACAGAAAACACGAATTACTCCTCCCGCATGGAGTAAAGAGAGGAAAGGACCTGGCTACATCTGACAAACCAACAGAGTCTATCAAAACAAATTTCGTTTGATGCTGCTGCTGCTGCGTTGGCATTGATCCAGAAGTACAACTAAAAAAAACTCGACACTCGCCAACAACACTGGTGCCTTAAAATAAATATATATGTTATTGATGACGTTTCAAGCACCAGCCCTTATATGCTACGACGAAGGGACATTGCCCAAAACGTCGCAGGTTATCTACGTGTTGTTTTAAGGCCGTGTTATGGATGAGTATGATGAGTCTGGACAGTCAATTGTCAATTGCAATGGGGAAATCGATTTGCAATAATGAATTGCCTGTAGATGTTTGCTGATACAGACAAAACATTGGTTGAAGAATGTAGCATCCTATTTGATTGTTAAAATAATTTGTATTCCCCAAATGGGAAAGAGCCTGTGCCAGAATTTGGAGAAAGAGCAAACAAATCCATACAGATGCAGTATTGAATTGATGGCAGTAAACAAGTATAACCCGTAAAAACAAAGTTTTTCACTATAAATCCTTTATATGCGTGGCGGCTAGAGTCCTCTCGTCCTCTGGCTTGAGATAGCTGCCACCTATGGGTCAGATGATTGTCTGCCAGTATTAAGCAATTGGTAATTAAATATTTAATTTGTTTTCCCTAAACAGCGTAAAATTTTGGAAAAAATTTTTCACGAACATTAATTGTCTCGCACAACGAGTCTGTGTGCAAAATGTCAGCTCGATTGGATCACGGGAAGTGGGTTAAAAAACGACCGAAAGATTTGCACGGTCGTAAGCAAGCACGCAAGCAAGCAAGTGAACTTAATATAAAGAATTTTAAAAATGCATGGTCCTCTTGGGTAATTTCTGGGCCGTGTGTAACTGTGGCCTGTTCAATAATCATTCCATGTTCATAGCCATAGGCTAATATCTATAAACCTGCGCATTAAACAAATATAAGTAAATTACCTCACTGATTACCAGAGCCCATATTTCAGCGGTGGCTGTGCTTCACTTCGAGCAGTGGTCCGCACACCGCATTGTGAACTTCGTGACTCGAGTTTGATTCCCGCCCATGGGTAACATCAGTGGTAGTTGATATCTAAAAGGGCCTTGGGGCACCCCTTCACCAACTTGCAGTGACCAGTGTGGTGAAGTGTCGTTAATAACCGTCACGAACGACTTGACTGTGGGGAGGACTTCATCCAGCAGAGGATTGATCATGGAAGTAATTGTTTATTATTTATCATTATTAGAGTTGATTATAATCGGCAATGGGCTCTTGAAGACTTCAGGCCTACAGCAATCTTAGATCCAGCTGAATGGCTAATACAAAAAAAGTTTATCTTTTTAAATGTTTTGATGAATATTGCGAAACACCAATGCAACAATGGAAACAAGATGATTTTACTGTGCCCGTGGGCTGTTTAATTTCACGAATATTAAAAACGTTCACAATTCTTCCTTCTTTAAATCATCCGTTTTGTTTGAAGGTTCTTCCATCTTCCCATCCTGAAAAATAAAACAAGAGCTCCAACCGATGATTATACGCAACGCAATCTCCCTTGAAGATGATAATGAGCTGACAAGTGTCGTCTCACAAAGGCACGTGGTTATTGATTCTCAGTAGGCTGGCTTTGCATTATTCAATGTAACTGACATTGATCCAGCCGTTGTCCCTAAAACAGATACTTTATCGTGTAATTAAAAGTTGTATTGATATATCACAAGAGGCGAGATTAAATTGCTTTGATTAACAAAAAACTCGCACTAACTGTAAAATTGGCTCAAATTTAAGCCTCATGTTTTAGGACAGTTCATGAACGAAGTGCACTAATGAAAGAGTGATTGTATAGACCACAATATTAATGGTTCTTTTATAGCCCATGTTATATACACTGTCCATTATGTGATATATGTAACCGAGTTTAAGGGTTGAGGTTCGAATCAGGTTTAGAACAAAATGTAGAATTCAGGAATACCCGGGTCAGGGCTGGGGATGGGTTTAATATCAGGGGTTAGAGTTAAGGTCATAGTTAAGGTTAGGGCTAAAGTTTGGTCACATATTTACGGTTAGGGTCAGGGTTAAGGGTTGAAGTGAAAGTTAGGCTGACTGTGTTAAGTTTATAATTAGGGTTAGTGTACAGGTTAGAGTGACAGGGTGATTTTAAGTCCTAAGTTTCATGTAAAGGTTAATATCCAGGTGAAAATAAGGGTTATGGTCAGGGTTATTGTCAAGGTTAGTGCTAAGCTTATGATTCCGCTTGGCGTAGTAAGGGCTTTGGCTAGGGTCAGCATTAGCATTAAGCTAAGAGGGCTCGGTCCAGGGTTCGGGTGGGGTCAGGTCCAGGCTGTCGCAGCGCGTTAGTGCTCACCGTGTCACCGCTGCTCTGGACTTGGCCTCCACTCTCCAGGAAGCTCGTGAAAGCCTCCAGAGTCCTCGCCCCCGTGTAGTTGATTATCTACACCCAAGCGCAGCAGCAGCAGAAGAGGAGGAGGAGGCACACACGAGTGGCTGGGCACGAGGCTGAGAAGCATGAACCGGGATCTGCTGTAGGTGTTGGTGCCGCTGTTTTTATTTTGACTGCATTGTATGTCTGTTTAACTTCTTTCGCACCATACGTAGCCAATCGTGCTAATCGGAGGTGCGGGGAAGGGCAACAAACTAAACACATTTCATTTATCCTAAGATAAAATCACCTGGAATGCACCCAATCTCATCAGATCGCGGAAGCTAAGCAGAGCTGCGCTTGGACTGTGCTTGGGGCCACCATGACAGGTTGCCACAGAGTTTGCAGGGCTTCATGGTTGGCAGCAGAGGGCAGTGCAGCAGCTTGCATCGTCCTGTACTTCTATGCTACCTACCATCAGCAACCCTCACTGACCAGCATGGTGAAGTATGGTAAAATAACCCCCACAACCCTCAGGGTAAATATGATCTTCAGATAAAATTGTAACTGCCACTGGCCAAAAAATTCCAATACAGAAAAATGACCTGCAAATTACGCTGTTAGGATGACACATTGCAAGCATTGCCCCCTACTGAGAAAACGTGGCAAGACCCTCCCAAAAATGAGTCGTGAGACTTGTGAGGCTTTCCTGGGTAAACAAGCAAAGCCATAATAATAATAATAGCGTATACACGTCTCAAATAAAGTGGGCAAAAAGGAGAGTAGTCTCGAGCACAGTTTAGCTTTTCAATTTTGTTACTCTCATTTGTTGTAGATATAGAACAAAGTAAAGGTGCAGCCCTGCAATTGCTTGCTCATGCCACTGCTGACAGGATACCCTCAACTCGTTGGAGCTCTATAGAGCCCCTCCAGAAGGTGTGGTTGTACTACTTTTTCAGGTTCGCCATATGTCTTGGAAGAGGTGGGAGACCCACACTTTACCCCACCGCACTCGACTTGCCAATTAACTGCGGCGCATCGATTTCGAATGTTGGGTGGCCAGTGATGGGGGGATTTCAGAAACTTGTCCCAGGTGATCGAATCGGTGACCTCTGGATTGCAACTTAAGTATGCTTACCAACAGACCACGACCACATCCCTCCTTACTAAGTAATTCATCTTGGCGACAGTGGTGCACACCTGTAATCTTGCAATGTGGAGGCAACGGTTAATGTATCACATACGTTGTTGCAAAGCGCCCTTCCCATGGGTGTCGAGGTACCCTACCCTCTGGCTTTCCAGGAGGTGCAGCAAAATGTAGACTAATCTCCAACTATGCCATCTATGTGGGGTAGAGTTGCCCCCTCGCACATGTCGGTTGCCTCTGGGTGGTCCAGTGCCCTCCCACAAGTATAAACTCTCATTGCTTGGAAGAACTTGAGCATAGATTAAGAACCGCAGACTTTGGATAATTGTTGGGCACCTGTCTGCTTGCTGCCTTCCCGCTCGTCTGCAATCCTTTATTATCTCTTCAAAAGTGTGCGCGGTTAAAGCTGACTGTCACATTTCAAATACCGCTTTGCGTTGGCACCTCGGGATGTAATGCCTGATCACTGTTACATTGTTTTTATAGCTTTATTTTGGTGATTTTGAAAAGTTTTGGTTTAGCCATGTTTGTTTGTTGTAGTACAGAGTTAGCCTGATAACTTTTATCTAAATTGTCTTATGGTTGTTATTGTTTGACTTGCATCCCACTGGGATTTTTGCACACAGCGTTGAAATACGGTGCTTTTTCTGGAAGACTTTGCAGTTTTTTCCTGGATTTTTCTGTTGCGTGTAGTCACTTTAAGATGTTTCTTGTTCATGTTTTTGTTTGTTGCAGTTGCACCCGAGTCAAGAGCCGCATGGCTCACAGGGCTATACCTAATAAATGAAATGAAAAAAAATAATAGAGACGAGGATGATCTCACCTTCTTGCCGGGCCCAGCAGGGAAGTATTTGATTTTCGGGTAGCCCGGGATGTGCACGGCCGCCACTTCGTTTTTCTCGGCGTCCATCTTGGCGATGACGATGTTGTCGTGGTCCTTGTACTGGACTCCGAGCTGCTCCCACACGGGCGCCAGCTTCTTGCAGTGGTCGCACCACGAGGCGTCTACGGCACGGGCAGCACCAGCGCCGTGGCGGCGTGACGTGAACTCCCTCGCTTCGAATGAGGGCATGGGTTCGAACCCGACCCCAACACCTGCTTTATATTTGGAGTTTGCGTGTCTCTCTCCCCGTGCGTTTTGAGTATTTGGCTGCTATAACTTTCTACGTGATAAGCCACTTCGTTGAGCTATCACTTATAGTCAGGTAACCGCTGAAAAAGCGCTATATAACTCAGTGAGCCTTACCTGATAAAAATAAAAAAGAGTTCAGTTTTGGTGAGAGCCGGCCCCACAACTCCGAGGTCAACATCTCTCTCGAGTAAACATTGTTGCCAATTTATTTTAGACAGCAGCAGTACAATGAGACGACTGTGTTATACTGGTTGCATCGTTGTTAGGTATCATCAGCACGGTATAGCCATGTTCTATAGCTGCTGCTTTGTCCATGTGAACAAGCCCTCCATGGTCACTGTGGGGACAGTTTGGCACTGCCAAACTATATGGACACCCTTACAAACAAAAATGTATATATCAAGGAATTTTCCAGGTGAAATGTTTTAAGGAGATAAATAAAACAAAAGCAACTTTTGCTATAAATAGGCTTTTTGTGCAAATAATTATTCCTATTTTTTTTCCAGCCTCCATGCACTTTATTCTGCCCGATGAGTTTCTTATCATTTACAGAAAGGATTGGAATTGATTGAAACAGTAGGGCGTTATGATCCGAGATGCCCATGTAGCTTAAGTGCTGATGCTGGTGTTTCCACCTATGATGTTATAAATACATAAATATATTGATTAATTTAATATAGTGACGTTCATGCAAATTTTATCTAACAGTTCCTGAGGAACCACAGACAAGCTGGAAGGCTTGTCCGATCATCTTTGCAGCAGCAGCTTTAGCTAACCATTGAACAAAGACGTTCACTGCATCGCGTGCTTTCAGATGCACTTCTGCGGCCGTCTGGAAAGCTCTTCCTTACAATATTAGAAAGCTACTGGAGATAGGCACTTTTAAAGCATATAAATTGGAAACTCAATTCTGCTGCTCAGCACGGCTTTGGGAGGTCTTCATTCATCAGTGGATAGTCATACGGCTGTACATTGTACAACTTTTTGCATATTAAAAAGAGTAACTTTTATTGCCCATGAAGCTGCTGGTACTGTGCACTATTTTCCTTCTTTATTGGCATACACAATCTATTTTGTTCAAGCAGCCATAATAAATGATATCATTAAGTTATTACTTAATCCAAAAGTGCCATTTCTTGTGACTTAGAAAATGTGTATATAGACATCACGTGTAAAAGCAGTTGATGAGGTGAATGCGCTTTGGACTCACAGAATTCAACAAACACGTTTTTCGTTTCGTCAAACACCAATTCGTCGAAGTTTTTCCCAACCAGCACCTTGACCGGCCGCTTGTCCCAGTCCTTGGGGATTTCCTGCGATTTCGAGAAGGGCTGCACGACGGCAGCAACACAACAGACGCACGCCGAGCACGTTCCGAGGTTCGTTTGGGCGATCGCTACACCGCCACACCGTTCCCACAGCCCGTAAGCCTGCCTTAGAGGCTCTTCCCGCGCCTGCCATCAGTGATTGACAATATCCCAGTGGCAGGCCTAGAACACCTCGGCCCAATTACTTAGGGCGGACGCGTGAGCGAGCCAACGCGCGACCGGAACGCGCTTCTGTGTAGGTCACCTATGACGCGTTCGGTGTGTCAGCTGTCGGGGGATAAAAATACGGGGATGAGCGGGAGCCCCTGGTGAGATGTAAACGTGGGGAAAAGGTCGACAGTCTCCAAAGCACCAGAGCTAGACGGCTTAAATCGATCATCTTCAGACCTTTGAACTCTTTGTGCTCGGTTTGGTCAAATATTTCTGAAAGTCCTCAGCTGGCAATCATGATGAATGGCATCTGAAATGTTGAGAAGAAAAGGTGCAGCCCTGCAAGTGCTTACTCACGCCACTCTTTCAAGTATCTTAAATCCCTCCTCCCTCCGATTCTCTCCACCCAGCGGTCTAAACGGGTGCACCGCCGTTAGTCGATCGGCAGGTCGTGTACATTACGATAAGCCACTTCGTTGAGCTATCATTTGTGGCCAGGTCGCTTCTGAAAGAGACACTAATAGCTCAGTGGGTTTTGCCTGTTGTTGTAACTTTCTGACCCGCCCCTCCCGACATCTGTGAAAAAGAGCTTTATAGCTCATCGGATTCCTCCAGTATAAATAAAGATTCTGATTCTGAAAGTGTGAGTACTGCCACCTCTTCACGACGTCTGACCAACGTGAAACATTTGACCAAACACCCTCTGGAAGGAGCCTCTCGATAACCGACTCTAATGGAGGCCCGTCTGCCAGCACTACAGTGAACGAGCAATTGCAGGGCTTCGCCTTTACCCTTGTGAATACACTCCAAGTCAGTGGTTCCCAACCTTTTTTGTTGACTGTACCCCCTTGTTGAATTTAGTTTCAACCGAGTACCCCCCTGCCTGACCCAACATGGTTCTGAGAAATAAAAGTATGATTAATGTACATAAATATTTTATCCAATTGTTCATTTTGTGAGGTATCCTAACTAGCTCGTAACTGCTAGTAACTGCTAGTAACTGCAAGTGAATACAACAAAATTCAATGGATGCTCTGCACACATGACGTCATTTGTTCGCGCTCGCTGGTTACTCTTGGAAACCACATTGTGTACGTTCAATGAGTTTATAAAGGTATTTGATATCGTCCTAGGTCACTATATGGATTTAAATCGCCTCACGTACCCCATGAGACATTGCCACGTATCCCCAGGGGTCCACGTACTCCCAGCGGTACGCAGACACCCCAGGGCTGTCCGCCTACTCCCAGCGGTCCGCCTCGTAACGCCCGAGAGGCTGGGCGGCACCGGCGCGGACTCACCTTGCTGTGCTCGTCCAAGTAGTCCTGGCAGAACGAGGTGATGTTGGCGGTGGTGAAGTCGCTGAAGGACGGCACGCGCTTCACCATGTCCTTGTTCACCTTGAGCAGGCGGATCGCAGGCAGCTGCGCCCCGTCCGTCAGCTCGAACAGATCCAGCACGTTGTCGTTCTCCGGCACCGCGCTGTTCAGCAGCACAAACAGGATCTGTCCACAACACAAACCGGGAGGGGACTCTTAGAGCCGGCTGGGGACATCCACATAGGTAAAGCAGGGGGGGGGGCGGGGATATCTAATTATTCACAAAATCGATTAGTCCTACCAATTATCGGTTCCATTACAAGACTAATGATGAAAATAAACAATTAGCATTTATTTGGCATCTAAATGCATTACAAGATGATGTATAGAACGATGGGATGTGGATATCCTGGGGAGAGGAGGCATATCTAATGAATAGAGGGAACGCGACAGACAGGTGAAATAGAGGAAGTCCTTGAGGCTGGACTTGGACAGGAGCAGGGAGTCGAAAGCACGGGTCGCTGCGGGGTGCAGTGTCTTAGAAGACGTGGCTGTCCAGGCACGGGCGTGCTTGCTGCTTCTCAACCAAATTAAAACTAAACTTTTTGTTTGTATTTTACCAGGTAAGGCCCCACTGAGCTCTAAAGTTATTTTTCAGAAGCGACCTGGCCACAAATGATAGCCCAACGAAGTGGTTTATCACGTGAAAATTTGTTGCAGCCAAATACTCTAAAGGCACGTTTCTAAATGTGGAGGGAAAAACTGGAGGACCCGGAGAAAAATCCACGCGACCACGGGGAGACATGTAAACTCTAAATATACAGACCTCAGGGTCGGTATCAAACCAGGCAAGGTAGTTAACATCTCACCACCGTGGCACCAAGGTGGAGAGATGGGTTTCACGTTTCTTCACTTTGAATACCCTCACGTGTATCCGGTGCGTGTGACACAGCAATGCAGTTGTTTTTTGCTGACTTTTGAGTCCGTGCCTGGCAGTATTTCAATCAATCTGTCGATCTTGATTTTACGTGCCAACATCGCCCTCAATAAAGTAGGCATCAAGTGCCTACTTTATTGTATTCGGTGGCTCTGTTGAGAAAGAGCGAACTGACGAGGAGCGGAGGCTGACGTGCCACGCTTCCACGCGGCTATGGACTTGCCTTGCCTCTGAAGGGAGGAGCAGCCGCCTTGAACTCCTCAAAGAGCTCAGGGAATCCGTCTGAGGAAGCGTTGGCGAACAGCAGGATGTGCACATCCACCAGCCCGCTGAAGAGCAGCGGGAACGCCTGCACCGTGCACCCACACAAGCCGACTGGTGAGCATTCACACCCATGGACTATTCTAGATTTGGAGTTTTCGTGACTGCAAGGATCCATACTCTTTGGTTCTTTTGGTAAAGTCACGTAGGTGAGAAAATAAAAAAATAAAAAAATAGAAATAACTAAATTAAATTAAATCACGACGTTTCGATTGCAACACAAGCAATTATCATCAGGTGTGGAGTTTATATAAACTCCTTAGCCCCGGCATTTCTCCCACTTTAGCAAAAATGTTCTGGCTGTGATTTCCACACCTGATGACGATTGCTTGTGTTGCAATCGAAACGTCGTGATTTAATTTAGTTATTTCTATTATTTTTTACATTTTATTCTTATTTTTTTATTTTTTGCTTTCTCACCTAAGTGACTTTACCGAAAGAACCAAAGAGTACCCATGGACTACTGCAGTATGGGACTTAAACATAGATAAGGGTGCAGCTCTGAAATGTCTTGCTCGTGCCACTGCTGGCAGAAGGACCTCCGCTAGCGAGTGTCTACCACGCACGGTGGCCAGATGTCTTGGAAGAGGTACCCACACTTTACCTCACCACACGCGACCGATTGGTCGACTAACTGGTGTACCCATCTCTACTGTACTGCTGGGTGGACATTGGGCAGAGATTGGTGGGGGGGGGGGGGGGGCTAGGCAAGACAGCGGATTTAATAATCCTGCTTTTTGTTTCAACTGCCACGACGGTTACCTCTGGATTGCAAGTGCAGTGTGCGAACCGTTGTACCACAGCAGCATCCATCCCATGTAAAACTGTTTTTGTCTATTTCTCAAGATTGGAATTTATCCTAATGAAGCGCAGAGCCAAATTTGATAGGATGAGTTGTCGTGTAGTTATTGGTGCCTGGACTGAGACCATTAACTTCCTATACCTGAGCACCCAGTTTCATCATAGGTAGCTGCCCGAATTCCAACTTGTGATATCAGCAGTACTGGCTCAGTGCTATGACCCCTGAGTCACCAGGCCTTCTTGGATAATATCATTAATTTGTGGTAAAATAAAGAAAAAACATCTTCAGTAAAGTGAAATTAACAAAATAATTATCCCCCCCCCCCCCCCTTAGCAAAGAAACACAGTGGGCCCACGCCTGTGAGGGACATGTTTGTATTCTTTTTTCTTGGCGCCAACCGACGAAACTCAAGTGCTTGTGACGCGACGGACGCGGATGCCGGGCAGTCACGGCACCTCGTCCGAGTAGGTGACGACGGACGGGAGCTCCTGCAGCTGAACAAAGCGCAACAGCTTCTCCCGCTCCACCTGATCCGTGAAGACCACCTGGCCCTCGTCAAACTGTCGGCAAACCGACCACGGGGGGCGGGGGGTCAGGGAGTCGCTCAACAACAACAACAACAGCAACAACAACAACAACAGCAACAACAGGAAACAACAGTCGTGGGGAGCGGGAGGGGGGCACCACGGCTACCCACAACGCATTGCGCTGTCACCAGAGCAGCCGGAAAGCGAGACGCGAACGGGCGGTGAGGGTTAAACCGCGGAGGAGAAGATGCGGTTCACACCTCACCGAGGGCCGAACATCATCATCATCATGACCTCACCGAGGGCCGAACATCATCATCATCATGACCTCACCGAGGGCCGAACATCATCATCATCATGACCTCACCGAGGGCCGAACATCATCATCATCATGACCTCACTGAGGGCCGAACATCATCATCATCATGACCTCACCGAGGGCCGAACAGCGCTTTCAAATACCCAGTGCTGAATTTCGGAGCGGGAAGGTCCGGAACGCTGACCTGGGCATTATTTTGGCACGCCACATCCATCTCGCCTAAGTCCGTGCATCTAGTTTGTATCATTCTGTTCATAGGATGATAGGTAACTATGGATAGGCGCACATTGTACTGGAGTGGTATTACCTTATGACAATAATCGCTGCTCACAGCAGTGTTCCAGAAAGTATCGAGTGAGATATATTCTTAGGTTTTTTCGGTAAAGTCACGTAGGTAAAACATCAAAAATTAATAAAAAATAAAATAAAACAAAAATCACGACGTTTCGGAGGCAACACAAGTCTCCGTCATCAGGTGGGACCGTCACAGCCGGGTTAGCTGCATCAAGTGAGGCAATGATTCAAGATGTAATCCCTTAAAAAGGCAAGTTGAGGGGGAGGAGAGGGGGGGGGGCTCATCAGAATGTGGTAGCCAATGAATGGAACGCATTGGGAGGGGGAGGGGGGGGCGGGGCCAAAAGAATGCGCGTCGGCGTGGACGCTGTTGGTGTTGCACAACGCCAACGCAAATCTATAATTATCGAGTGAGACATTAAGCCCTGCAAATACCTTTTGGCGTGCAACCACAAATTCATACTCACCTCATGCTGAGCATCCCTTCCTTCCAAGTCTTCGCCATGCACTACTAGAGGCATCGTGAGGAGAAGATGCCTACTGCTCGACTGTTACTGGCTTCTGCCTTGCCCTATGTATGTATGTATCACTTATTCTTTGGGTCTTTCGGTAAAGTCTCGTAGATAGTAAAATAATAAAAATAAAACATAATAAAATAATTCTCACGACGTTTCGGCCACAACGCAAGCAGCCGTCCTCAGGTGGAGAACAGGTCTGTCGAGGAGACAGTCTGAATGACACGCCCCAGGCTTGGAGCGTCTATTTAAGCTGGGATGGAGGGGGGAAGAGCGCCTTGACAAAATAATTTGCATATCAAGAGGAATTTAGCATATTTATGGGAAGTGCAGATATGCGATTAGTACTACTTGTGAAATGCGTAGGAGGTTTTGCGAGGGGCTTAAAGTCATTATGCCCGTGCATTATGCAGGATTAGCAGCATCAAAGGGAGGGGAAAGGGGTAACATTAATAATGGGAAAGAATGTTAATAGTATGTATCTACAGTAACTAAACCACCACGTAAACAACTAAAGTATAAACTACACCTAATAAATGAAACTTGAAACTACATCGAAACTAGCGAGCAAATCACCTGGAGATAGTGAGATGTCCTTAATTGACGATACCAAGTGAGCTGAGTAAAGTACAGCTGATGTGGTCTTACCAATGAATGGTTGTAAGGTCTCAGACAGAAATCGGGCCAGTTTGTAGGTGGGTGAGTCAATGGGTGGTCTAGCAGCAGAGGGTTTTAAGGAAAACCGCTTGGTTGGTTCGATTAAAGATGTCGAATCGGTGATGATATTGTTGGTTTTCGTAGCGAGGCTGTTGGTGGAATCTATTTTAATTTTTGTATAGCTACCATCATTAAGCAGGTCCTGAATTTTGTTATTGTATGTGGTTTTGTCCATGGTGACTGTGGCATTGCTCTTGTCGGCTGAGAGGATGACGATGTCATGTTGCTAATAGGTGTCTTAGCGTTTTTGAGGATTGCAGTGAATTCCGATCTTGCCACGTCTGCAGTAATGTGTCCTAACCCCTTAAGGGCTACGTCAACCTGGGCAATGATATCATCCACTGGGATGTGTTTAGGGGTGACTGCGAAATTCAACCCTTAAGCTAGAACCCATTTTAGGCTGTCGGAAATTAGACTGTTACTCTGATTGATAACAATCTTGTCAACGTCTAACTTTTTAACGTGGGGATCTGGCTTCTTCTTGGAAAAGAGGTTGAACTTGGAAATCGGGTTATCTTTGCATTTAACTGACATTGAGGCGGCTGGACTTCCTATGTAGAACTTCTTTCGCACCGTACGTAGCCAACTGTGCTAATCGGAGGTGCTTCTGTCGTTTCCTAAAATATTCCATTGCTCACCTTCTTGAAGAGCACAATAGAGTCACTTGAGACGCCATATTTCGCGAAAACCTCTTCGCTTGATGTGACGCCAAATGGCGCCTCATCATATGTGTCGGCGACCTCCATGAAGGTCTTCAGGTCGCGGCTCTCCGTGTCCTGCACAGGGAGGGGACGTGAGTTAATAGCCCGCTCCTCCGATTAAGATGGTTGGCTACGTATGGTGCAAAAGAAGTTCAACATACACACATACAAGTGGCACCCTCGGTGGTATCACCACCACTCACGATTCAGGCTTTGATGAGAGCCGGGATCTCCAATTATTTGCAAAATCGATTACTCAACAGATTGTCGGATCTATTACCCAGCTAATAAGACAATACAAAAATAATCGGGGGGAAAAAATCAAGTTTCAACTTCTTTTCTATGTGTGCCGCTGGACGGGAGGTGATGGGCGTGACTTGATGATGTCATTTGCATTAACATCCGTGTCACGGCAGGCGTGGCTTTTAGGGGTGTCCCGCCTTGGGGATGGGCCCAAGCAATCGACCACCAAAATAAGTCATCCATTATAATTTTTTATCACTAAATCGACTTCATTGTCCAAATGCAAATTTCGAGTAATTTGATTGGTCACTTGTCCTTTAGTTAACAAACAGAGAAACCATTGGGATGCATTACGTCTTTTCCAATCGCGTTTTTGTAAATTGTATTGACAAAGGAAGAGAGCTCTTAATTTGTCAATAGATTTTTGGGGCAACCTTTAGAGACAGGGATGTGCAGTGGCTGCAGGCCAGGCAAGGCAATGGAGATCCACCTCAGGTTTTCCAGCCAAGAAATCCATGCAGCTTCGTGGGAGCACAGACTTTATGTGTGGGTTGCTGTGTCATGCACTGTGTATTGTGAGCGGTATACTCTGTGTTGTGTACTATGCGCTGTGTACTGTGTGTTGCGTGCTGTGCACTGTGACAGGTGCCGTGTGCCGCTCGCTGTGCATGATCCGTCCTCCTCCTGCTGCTCGCCTTGAAGAACCCCAGAAGCACGAGGCTGTCGGAGTCGATGAAGGCCTGGGCCTCCGCCGCGGTGGCCACGGTCACGGCTGGGGGCCCCGCTCGCCTCGCCGCCCACTTGGCCAGGGCCTCCGCTTCCCACAGGCCTGGCCCAGCGCATCCACCACACGCGGCGTGCACACCACAAGTTGCTCACCCCAAACCACGCTCGCAAGACAGGAGTTTAGTCTCGGTGCTCCCAACCTGCTTCTAAAAAAATCGACATTCAAAGCTTGCAATCGAGTGGTCAAGAATGTTGTGTTGAACATTTTATATCCCCTGACATGATTCGTAGTAGTAAGCCCTTATTTGCAGGCATTAAGGTCAAATTATTGCCAAATAAAAAAAACTGCACCGCAAATTACTCGATTAGCTGGTACATAGAAATCATTGCCCGCACTGTCATTCTTGCAAATGAGACGATCCTAGCCTCTTGAGGTCTCAGCTGGTTAAGCAAATGAACGTGGAGTCCACCAGGCTGAGACTACCATCATCTCGCTACACTCGAGACGCCGGTTTAAACGATTACCGGCAAAATAACAATAGCGGCAGCTCAGTGCCCTCACACTGGAGCCACCCAGCCATCCCTAAAGGTTATATTTTTTATACCCAAAAAGATTACAAAAAATAGTTTTGTTTTCTCTGGCAGGTTGCCAAGAGTCGAGCGAAGTCTGTCATCACTATTTTCATTGTCATTATGGGGCCCATTTGTAATCCAGCAATTTGAAGGCAAAGGTTGGTGGCTCACGCAGAATCCGTTGGGCTGTGAGGTGGGCAGAAAATTGCAGTGCAGCCTGAGGGTTCATGACCCCATGCGTGCGAGCCTCTTGAGTGTTATTCTCTCGTGCGAACCTGGGTTTCCTTGATCAACTCGACTTTTCTTCCACATAAAAACCACTGCTTAAAATGAATTGGCCGCAGATCCCAATGCAGGGCATACATCTTGAAATCAAGTAGAGGCTTTTCTGGATAAGCAAAGGACAGTGATATTATTCATCTTGATTTGAAGCTTTCTTGACTCTTTGGTTCTTTCGGTGAAGTCACGTAAGTAGAAAAAACAATAGATCATGACGTTTCGATCGCAACGCAATCAACCGTCATCAGGCGGAAGAAAGAGGAGGGAAGCTGCTGAGGCTGGCTGCTGCTTGTGAAGGTCAGAGATGGGCGTAGCCCCAGAGTCATAAACGAAGTGGGGGGGGGGCAGCGCTAGTCATGTTAAAGTGAGAAATTTGCAGGTAATATATACCGTGTACATGTACTGTGTAAGTGTACTGTGTAAATGTACCGTGTAAATGTGATTAGCAAGTAAATGAAGGCGCGCTGCGAGCCTACATTGACTTGCTAATCACATTTACACAGTACACTTACACAGTACACGTACACAGTACATTTCCACAGTACATTTACCTGCAAATTTCTCACTTAACCATCACTAGCCCCCCCCCCCCCCCCCACTTCGTTTATGACTCTGGGGCGACGCCCATCTCTAACCTTTAAGCATTTTTTATTTCGTTTGTGAAGACATGTCCACTTTTCTAATAACAGCATCCAGAATGCAATCCGTTGGTACACGCTGATACAGTAATATGATTACAAAACCGAGAACGAAGGGATGTAGTACAACCATAGTGAGTCGTTACTGCATTCAGCAATATGGTTACATTAATTGTGCTGTGCGTGTAACTCACTCCCCAACGCTGCCTGTGGGTGGCTGCATGAAATGTGAGTGCAGTGAGAAGTGACGATGACATTTATGAAGTGTTTATTCAGGTAGTAGTTTCACAGAAAATAGGTTAAATATATTGTTTTTATATAAGGAAAGTAATTCAGTATTAAGACTTATTTATTTTCAATTATGATTAAATAATCCATTTATTTAATTATTGATATATCCAAATTTCGTTTGGGAAACCCTCCACCACCCGACATAGCCAACACTAATTAAATAGTCACATTTACTAGCAATTAATGCTCCATCTATGATTGCTTCAGCGTGAAGTCTTTTTCCACGTGGGAAGAAGCAGGATTTCTTGGAGAAACTCTACACCAGTGAGGGGAGAATCCTGACACTTTATATCGGCAGGCCACAAGTAACAAAGTCTGAACATGTTCAGCCATAAGACGGTTCTACATAGGAAACCAAATAAACATTTTTATAGTAGAAACATGCATTTAGAGTATTTTGGCCGCTATACATTTCCATGTTATAATCCACTTGTTGAGCTATCATTTGTGGCCAGGTCGCTTCTGAAAAAGAGCCTCCGAGTTCAGTGGGCCTTACCTGCTAAGATACAAAAATAGTATTTAAAAAAAGTTCTAATAGGCAACGTTTAAGACAATCGTTTTTCTTCACAGTCCTCAGAGGCTGAGTGGCGACTGGGCTTACACACCATGGGCTCCTGAGCCCCCTCCTAAAGGCACCGCCTCTGTTTTCCAGTCCCTTCATGCATCATCCCTGCATGGTCCACCAGTCCCACTGTGCGCATCATCGTGGTCACCACACCCGACATTTGGAAATGGGATATGAACACCTCGTGGGCGGCGAGGTCTATTTGATTGCATCAAGAAAAACACGGTAAAAAGGTCGTTGCGGCGTATCGATGAACCCCACCTGCCCTTAAGCATGAGACGCGCGCTGTGAAGGTCTGTGGAGACGAGGTAGCAGACGAAACGAAGAAAATTATACATCGCAAATTTTGTCATCTTCTTTGGGCTTTTGTTGTGAGATGTGAGATAGTCGATCTGAGAGCGGAGTTTGTGCGGAGATGAGAAGCGCGCACTCCCAGATCGAGTTACGCGTGACGCCAGCTCTGCTCGGCATCACGTGACGTTCGCGTCCTAATCTGCTGTTGTGCTGGTAGCGTGCTTACGGTCGCGGTGGCGTGGCTACTGGAGCTGATGTGCCTGTGATCTGGAGTGTTCATGCCGCCACACACGCACGCATGTCGTGACGCACGAACTGTGAACGTCGGACGTGACTCGGACGAAAACGCCCAGAAATTGTTCTCGTGTTATTATTTTTTATATAAAATGTTCCCCCTTGTACGACACAAAGTCGCTCGTAAAAATAGGGGCAGATAAATAATTGCATTGTCAATAGGTAGTCAAATGAAAAGGATATTGTCCAGAATTGTAAAACCCACAGTGGTAATCTTTACATTTATACATCGCTTGCTTAAATGCCTAAGCATCTCAAAACGCCTCACATCAAATGTCATCTCCAACAATTGACGGAAACCCCCAGTGGCAGCTGTCCCTGCGTGGCAGACGGTGACTCAGCACGTGCCTGCAAGTGGCCATTAGTCTGCAAGTAAGAGGTCCACGATTGCTATAAATGAGACCATTTAATTTGTGTTATCATCACGATCATCAACCATGATCTATCCATTGCAGGATGAAGGCCTGCCGCCAGTGTCTTTCACAGGCCCTGCAATACAACAATCCACCTAACCCTTAATACAGAGCTTTATTGCAAGAAATGTGAACCAAATTCATCACTCTGAGGGTTAACCAGCATGCCACAGTCATTTGCGTGATTGCCAAAGTGTCCAAATATGCCCTGAATATTCTGTTCGCACGGTGCAGCGTCCTTGTATGTAAGGACGTTGAACTTCTTTCGCACTGTACATAGAAAACCGTGCAAATTGCAAGTGCGGGGGAAGAACAACAAACTAGACATAAACATCAATTCTAAAGAAATTAGTTTTCAATATAGGTGATTTAAAAGTGCATAGCTCCAGTGGCTTCCTAATATCAGAAGAAAGAGCGTTCCAGACGGCCGCAGAAGCGCATCTGAAAGCGCCGCAATGCAGTGGCCACCGCCTTTGTTCAACGGCTATCCAAAGCCGCCACTGCGAGGATAACCAGAGTGGTGATGGTTTATGCTCTTTGACGAGTTACTATTTTACTATTTATTATTTTACCTGTTCAGGCCCACTGAGCTATATAGTTATTTTTCAGATGCGGCCTGGCCACAAATGATAGCCTAATGAAGTGGGTTTCGTGTGGAAATTTATAGTAGCAGCCAACACTCTAAATGCGTGTTTCTAATTGTGGAGGGAAAACCCGGAGGACCTCGACAAAAATCTACGTGACCATGGCGAGAACATGCCAACTCCAAATATACAGCAGGTCCTAGGGTTGGGATCAAACCCACGACCTCCTGCATACTTGGCGAGGTAGTTAACTGCCACCGAGGTGCCCGGCTCACGACGACCCATCCTGCCATGGAAAAAACGAGGACAATCGTTGCATCGCTCCCTCTCGATCGTCGCTCCCTCGCGAGCGAGCGATAGTGGCCCATTGTGTGCCTGCTCGAGATCTGACGGCGAATTCAAAGTGCCCGCAGTGCGCTTCCAGCTTGCGCCGCCTCTATCGCCGATGGACAAGTCTCGGCTGTCAGTCATCGCCGGCGAGTGCAGGCTCCGACGAGAAATAACAATAAGAGAAAATCAAGGAGGTGCCATGTTTCACATTTATCAATGTCAGCCTTGTACGAAAGTTTAAAAATGTTATCGTGCTGGTCTTGTTTTCACGATCGTTTTCGCGATTGAATAGTTGGTTATCTTTAGCTCGGAACTTCAATTCGCACTGAATATTTTCCTGGCCGCTGGTAGACTGGAGTAGAAATTAATTCGTGATCCACACTCATGGTAAATGGTACACTGGATGTGGTGTGCCAGTTTGCCAAATATTATCCAGGCCACGAACCCAGATAGACGCAGCTGAAATGAAGCATGTCCCTGGCCATTTAGTGAAGCCTCGTTGTGGGGGTGACGGTAGCTGACTCTTGACTTAATTGGAGATCCAATGGGGGGCATGGAGCATGAGAGTTTTTTTCCCAAAAGGAGTTTGTGAGGAACTTTATTATTTAGCGACGTTTGGCTAAGTACGGTGCGAAGGAAGTGCAACATACATACATGCATACACCACCAGATTTAGAAATCTTGCGTACGTGAGTTTTATATTATAGATGTTATGTTTTAGCCATTACTAAGGTTCAAAGTTATCCTTTTTAATTAGTGCGCTATGAATCTAGCAATCTGAGTCGTGGCTAACATCAGTCGCAAATGATATATGAACCGGTTCTGGGTCCCCCTCGCTGCACCAACTGTCACTGACCAGTGCGGTGACGAATGGTCAAGCAACCCACAAGACAGAGTCGTGTGGAGGAGGCCTTGAGAGGCAGGGTCGACGGCTTCAGAGCACAGCGCGCTACCCACCGCACTACAATTCCACCCAAGAAACCTAAGATAACGCCACATCGGTTTGGCCCCTGTGTGTGCCCTGTGCGCCTTGCGCGCAGCGCACAAGGACGAGGCACGGAGTGACCAGGCGCCCTCGCGTCGTGCGCATGGGAAGCCGCGGCGGTGGCGGAGTGGCGGTGCTCACCGTGGTAGTGCCGGGGCTTGGCGCGGGAGCCTGGATCGAAGAGCAGGAAGTCGGGGTAGTGGGAGACGTCGAACTCGGTGGCGAGGATTGCGTGCGTCTCCCCGTCCAGCGAGCCGAGCCGCACCGGAGCGCCGCGCTCCCGGAGGAGCTCGACGGTCCGGGCAAGCTTGGGCGGCAACTCGGAGCACTTCTCGCAAGAGCCGGACACTGCTCGTGCCGAGACAGGGGTGGGACAGCAGGGGTTCAGATGCAACTGTTGTGTTACTCAAGTCCGGCAAGGTACACATGGGTGAAGACGGGTGTGTGTGCATGTATGGACCGTACGTAGCCAACCGCGCTGATCGGAGGTGTGAGGGGAAGGACAATAAACTAAACACAAAGCAGTTCTGAAGAAAGTAGTTTTCAATCTAGATGTTAGTGCAGAGCTCCAGTGGCTTCCTAATATTGGAAGGGAGAGCGTAACGCATCTGAAAGCGCGCGATGCGGTCACCGTATTTGTTCGATGGCCAGCCAAAAGCAGCTGCGAGGATGACCGTGCTTCACGTGGTCATGGTGTATGCTCCTTGACGACATCCCAGTGTGTCATCCTGTCCTGGTTTTACCAGGATTGGCCTTGTTTTGAGGCAGCTGTCCAGGCGAAATCTAAAAGTTCTCCTTGATCATTAAATATTAGCAGTTCAGGCTTTTGCCAGTTACATGTAGTTCTCCCATCTTCTGTTAACGTGAGATATTCTTCCCGTGACATGTCCCAGTTTTTTTTTATGCATCTCAGAGGTGGTAGCCCTACATGCATATCAATGGGCACCGGTGCTGTTTTCCTGCTGATAGATGAGGCGGGGTGAGACGCATCAGTCGTGTTACTCGTGTCCAGAGTTGACACGTGGACACGACATTTACACAGAGGCACGTCCGTGGAGAGGGGGGGGGGGTAATGTCACTTTCAAGGTCTTCTTCGGACGGCTGTGGAAGCAGTTGTAGTTTGATGTCGAGGTTTAGCGATCCATTCAACGGCTTCAGGTGAGGCCGAGTGAGAGTGGTCGCGATGCCACAAGGGAAGGATCTCGCAGGGCATGAGTTCAGCACGTGGGGCAATCATCGTCTGGCTTGGGTGGCCACAGTCTCCATTTGGGCTGCTCCTCACGCTCCACTTGTGGGGCAAGGGGCCGTACCTTCCCTCGCCTGTCCTCAAGTTATATATATGCTCCAAGCTTGTGTGCTGTTTCATTCAGACTCTGTCAGCCTCGACGGACCTGGTTTTCACCTGAGGACGGCTGCTTGCGTTGTGGCCGAAACGTCGTGAGAATTAATTTATTGTGTTTTATTTTTATTATTTTATTACTTCCCTTCTACGTGACTTTACCGAAAGAACCAAGAAGATGAATCCCTGCAGTCACGAAAGCTTTAAATCGAAAAATGTCCTCAAGTGTTCGAGGGTTGTCCAAGTTTCCCATGGAAGGTTGAACCCTGGGACTTTACCGCTCGGGTCAGTTACCAGGTTGCGATTGGTGGTGGTTGCAGCGAGTACGACTTATCTACTTAGATATATTGATAAGTGAATCTTAATAGTCACGTTAGAGCCAATTGACACTTGAATTTAAACTCAAACAGCACGGCTGAAATACAGCAAACCAGCACAGTGTATAACAAAACATTGTATAAAACACCATTTGAAACAACAGCAAAGTTAAGTGTACATATTTTACATAATGCGAATAATTAAACGTTAAATATTTAAGTGGGTAAAAGCCCATTGTGGGAACAGTGGCACGGTTGTTAGCGCACTGTGTTACAATCCTAGCAAGTGATAGCGAAAAGCCCCCACTTCACCACTGCGCACTGACCAGCGTGGTGAAGTAAACACCCCCACGATGGAAACAGTGCAGTGGATTGAAGAATGTCTGTATCTATATCTCTACATCAACCCAAGCCTCCCCTAAATCACGTGACTTCTGTGTAGCCACCCCCACTGGATCCCTCCCCTCTCGACACCCGCTGTGAAAACAGACGCGAATCTACGCAGCTCACTGCTGCTCGCTCCTCCTCTCCCCTCTCTTTCCTCCCCCGTCTCCCGTCGCCACCGACACCGCGTGGCCCGGTGGTTCCTTCTCCCCTTCCTGCACCCGGCGCTCCTTCCTGCTGCTCGTCTCGAGCCGTGCCCTCCGTGTCCGTCTTGGGAAATTTCATTCCGGCATCATTTCCCGTGTTTTTCTCATTTTCCATCCGTTATATCCTTATTTATAATTCTCTCATCGTGGTATTTCACACGTAGTTTTATATACATTTAATTAAGAGCCCAATAAGATAAGAAGCGTATTTTTTCAAAGGAGATAGTGATTTATCCCAGTGTCTGAAAGGAAATCAATCAACCCAACATATTCATGATTACAGATTGTGCTGTCGGATCCACCATTCAGACGATACGAATATAAACGCCGTCAACATCACGTTACTGTCGTTCGCATCACGTGTTTATGTTCTGCACGAAGGAATATGTTTGGCTTTTCCAGGTCTCCCTTGGGTGAAAGGCATTCAATCAAGAAATATCAAATACGTTCAGAGTAAACATTGAACAGAAAATGTATTGCTAATAATTACCTAAAATACTAATGAAACACAATACAACTGTACCTGTAAATTTGTATCACTTGTGCAAACGTTTAAGCCACGTTGCACAGAATCAGTGGTTAGATTCCTACCACAGTTGGACGGCGATTTTACGAAGAATTTCCTAAGCGTGCAGTTTGTCGTAAAATAAATGTTTAAGATCTTGTGGCGTAATTGACAAGAGTGAGTCCTTGTGTGCCAGGGGAGCACCATTCCCAGCTCAGACATGTCTCGAGCGAATTACTAAAAGGGTTGAGGGGTGGAGCGGTAGCACAGTATGTAGCACACCACGCTCGAACCTGGCTGACCCGAGTTTGATTCCTGTAAATGACGAATGTCGGTGACGAGCGTTATGTGAACCGGGTCTGAGCCCCCCACTTCTCCCAACCAGCACTGACCAGTGGAGTGAAGTATGGTCAATCAACCGCCCTCTCCACGACCCACACGGTGCAGGGAGGCTGTCATCTGGCAGGGGATTCACCAAGGGCTGGACGAAGATTAACACTTTCATAAATGTTGCCGTGGGACGATACCTTCGGGGGCTTCATCTCTCACTAGATATTTTCCATAACGCTGCAAGGCTGGATTGGAGTAGGGATTACTGGCATACGGCACTACCACTAGAATACAAAGTATGCCAATCCATGATAACGACAGTAACATTGTACATGAGTGTCGTGGTGGAGAACGTAAATATTCGGTTCTATATTAATCTATGTAATATATTCTACGTGATTGTATCCTGTGTTGCTATGTGTAATCTCCTAAACAAGTTTTAAAATATATATTATTAAAAATAAATATTATATATATAATTTAGAAATAACACGCGAAATAATTGCAAAGCACAGCGTTCCAGACTGTTCCAGCTGAAATTAAGCACTTGCGATCTCTGAGCGTGTTCACCTTGGTAATAGCTGCAGGTAAACGGAGTTTAACACGGGCATGTCTACTGAAGGTGTGTAAAGTTCACTCGTGTTTTTCAGCGCAAAAAAAATTACATCGTACTTTTGTACATTTCTGTACGAAGGCCGCAGGAACGCTCTGAACTTTAAAAAAATGATAGTGCGTAACAAAATCACGAGTGGCATATTTTACATTCTGGCAAAAAGATTTCCACAACAATGCATCGCCTTGAATAATCTGCAGGCCTCCATTTGACATTCTCACGTGTCATTGTTTTGGCAACACCTTGAAACAAAATTGCATAATAACACTGCTTAACAATTTGACTTATTCTATTAAACACACCGTGTTGTTATCAAAGTGTCCAAATGTGTGAAAACACACGTGTTTGTGTGTGAACACATAGAAACGTGCCACCTCAACGTAGAATAAACCGACGGATGTTCATCGAGCACATATAAATTCAACGCACAATGTCAGGCACACGTGGAGCCCTTTGTCAATCCACTGCTGGATGAGCGCAAGTCTGTACCATAACCTCGTTTAATGGGTTGCGGGTTGGGGGGGGGGCGTGCAATAACCCATGGGGGGCAGGGGCGGGGGGCACAATGCAGTCAACATGAAGAAAACTAGATTTGAAGCTTTCGTGACTGCAAGGATTCACACTCTTAGGTTCTTTCGGTAAAGTCACGTAGGTAAAATAATAATAATAAAATAATAATACATGAAAATAACTCAATTAAATAACGACGTTTCGGAAGCAACACAAGCCTCCGTCATCAGGTGTATTTATAATAATTTTATTTTATTATTATTATTTTACCTACGTGACTTTACCGAAAGAACCTAAGAGTATGAAGGAAACTTTAAACAAACGTTGCAACACTGACCAGAATGAGTCACGATACGATCTGCTTGTGTCTATCCTGCATTTTAGTTGTCCTTGCATGGTCGGCTACGTACGGTGCGAAATAAATTCAGCTTACATAACATTCGGCTCCAGCTCCCCTCCCACTGTGTGTATGACGAACGCATGTCGACTATGAGAACGAACGGATTAAAATACGAGATCATTGGGGCAAAAGAGAGAGGGGGGGACTTCAGAGTGGAACAAGGGCACCCATAGGGGAAGGGACAAGCGAGGAGCAGAGCTCATTCACACAACCGCCAACCAAAACCCAAGTCTCAGAAAAAGTCCAAATTCATCTGGAACAGATATACCGTGATGTGACCACAACATCACGCTTCACCATTCGACTTGATGATCATCGTGATATTGGTTTTCCATAACCTTTCATTTGTACCCGCATTTTAAATGTATAGTTTTATTATTTTTGCTGCATTTCCACTTTGAATAAAGAGTTCATTTACAACTACAGTTCACTCAACACGAGTTTGCCTTAAGTCTTTATGAACATTGCAACCGAGCATGCTTATAACGCACGTTCTGTCAGTTATAAAGCCCTTTTATCATCTGCGCACACCTTGTGCCGCACAGGGACAGCTGCCAACTAGGGGGTTCTCTGGGCTAAACTGCAGTGGGGCATTGGAATATTTGAGATGAGATGTAAGGTGTTGGAGTTGCGACAAAGAGGCCGACACAGCTCAGCGATGAGGGTCACTGGCGCGGCATTTCTTTTGGAGCCGGTTCGGAGGTGCCACGTCTGGCTGTGAGAAGTCAGCCAGGTGTTGTCCCGGTGGTGACGAGCTGAGGTGTGTGTTGTGTGTGTGTGCCTGTAACCGGCTGCGCAATGCTGTGTGGAAGCTACCTGGTCTGTCGCACAGCACGAAGCTTCGGGTCTTCTGGGCCAGTTATGCCCTCCTTTATCTATGCTTGTGAAACGTGAACCCCTCTAATGAATATCTGCGCCGGTGAGAAACATTCAGGCTGGCATGCCTACGGTCGATCCTAGGTTTAACCAGGTTGGATTGTGTGAGGAGCTCACAAATCCTTGAAAGATCTGGACACATTCCCATCAGTGAGCTCCTCCGGCAGGCAAGGCAGCGTTGGCTGGGTGATGTAGCCCGCATGCCCAGTCGGCTTCTGTTTGGCCGCATAGAGGGGGCTAAACGGGCACGAAATGGGCTGGAGAAGAGATGGACTGATGCGGTACGGGAGGATGTGGAAATGAGTGGATCTTCCGACGACTGGTACCAGCAGTGTCAGGATCGGCCTCTGTGGAGGAGGCTCGTGAAGGACGCTACTGGGCAGGCAATTGGAGGCAGACGCTCACAACAACGAGCGGAGAACCGGGCGGCTAAAATACAGAAAGTTGGCACAGTAGGGGGTACAGCTGGTGCATTTACCAGTCATCTCAGTCAGCCTAACCATGGTACCTGAGTCTGTCCCGAGGCCTCCTGTCAGCGAGCTTTTGACACTTCATGTGGCCTCAAAGTGCACCTGGCCTGGCACAGGCGCCGTGGTGACGTCACCGTCACTTTGTGGCGAATGGCGGGGTTGTAGGTGTTGGCAGTAGGGAGTGGTAGTGTAGCGCTTAGGGCACTGCCCTCCGAACTGGCCACCTGAGTTCGAATCCTGCTCACGGCCAACACCGGTGAGGATTATCTCAATCAGTCATGGGCCTCCCGTAGGTCGACTCAGCCTCAAATGAGTACCTGGTGCGGTATATATATCCACTAGGGAGACAAAGGCGGCCGAGCGTGGTGCTGGCCAGCCACCCCCTCGTATGCCATGCCGGCTTCATTATGTCGTCGCTAACTGCTTGCCCCAACGGTCTATCAAGGTGACACGGGGCATCTTTGTCTGGTGTACCCACGCCCCTGCCCGCTTCATGGCCATGGCGTCACCGATAAGCCATCGCTGCCGCTGTCGTTTCAGTCACCGTCGATCGTGGGCAGGAAGGTGTCACTCGTGAGCCCGAAAGGGGCTAAACCGGTGGCTTAAACCACCTTCATGCTATGGCGTGGTCCCGTGCCCTCCCTCCTCCAGCCCCCCACAGCACAACGAAGGTCACAAAGGCCACAGCATCCTCTATACTCCACTTGTTGTTCACTCAAAGAAGCCTCATCGAGTCTCAAGACTCTTGTTCAGGAGGAGGGTCCTGCCAAGATTTCGCAGGAGGAGATGTTGAAATTGTGCGATCCCAATTGAGTAATCTGGAGGTAATCGTTCCGCATTGGGAAGTGGCATCGTGTGCTTGAGGTTTCTTTGTTTGGCTTTCATCGAGTCAATGCGGCGTTAGGGTTGGGCAGGCGAGGGTTGATGCATCCAAAGTAAAAAAAAAGTTATTAATTCGCCAGCACTTTGTCAATGCAGCCGCATAAAAGCCTATCCACACCTTGTCGGTCACGGTGTCAGTCACGTCCATTGTGAACCCGTAATATTTTGGCACAGCATGGTGTCCTAAGATGTTTTGAAAGGTTGAAGGCTTTGTTTTAATGGTGCTGACATTAGCCTGCCTCGAATGTTCGTGCACTGGCGGAATGGGTGACTGCACAACCCCTCAAAACCCCACACGCCCAGGCCAGCACTCATCAGCAACCCCGAATGCAACCTGTGGATCCATTTCACGAGATATCTCCTTACCGTCAGCACTCAGCCCTCCGATCAGTACGCTTGGCTACGTGCGGTGCGAAAGAAGTTCAACATACAGCCGCAGATGTTGCAAGAGCGGGTCGGGTGACAGACATCCTCCTCGCGAAACCGTGCAGTGTTTTTTGACATCTATAGCAACATCAGCAACTGAAATTATACTTTACAAGTTTCATTTCCCATAGCAAGGGGTGGGGGTGGGTGAGAGGGAGGGAAGCGGATATTGGCGATCGTGTCGTGGGAAAAAGGCGACATCTGTCTCAGTTTGACTTTAATGAAGTCTGTGTAAGTTTCACATTTCACTTGAAATCTGTCACGATGCCAGCCCCATCCTCCCCCCTGGAACAATACCAAGCAGCGATTGAGCCTGCACAGAGCTGCTTAGATGGTGACCACGGGGGAGGGGGAGGGCACACAGCAGGAGTTGATGTGCAGCTGTGAGCATGCATGGTGCGTGAGCAGGCAATGGAGCAACACCCATCGACTTGTATATATGTTGAATTTCGTTAAACTATCATTTGTGGTCAGGTCGCTTCTAAAAAAATAAGCTAATAGCTTAGTGGTTTTTACCTGGTAAGAAATAAAATAGTTTTATTTGTATATGTGTTTTAAGCGATTTGTTTACATTTCCTATACTTTGCACTCCTATTATGTTGTTGTATTGTTTGTTGTAACGTCATGACCTGCCCCTACTGGACATCTGTGGAAAAGAGCTTTATAGCTCATCGGATTCCTCCTCCAGTATAAATCAAGATTTTTATTCTTAAGTTAAGTGACACGGAATACGTCCGTGGGCATGGTGCTATGCTAAGTGCGGCGAGATACACGAATACGACTTCCCAGCGACGTGACATTCATGAGATGATGTCTGATTGAAAAGCTACTCTGCGATCAAGGAGCCTGGAGGCAGCACAATGGGAACCTGGAGTCAATCCAAGTGTGAACATCTCCAGCTGCTGCCTGCATTCACCCTTCAACTGCCAACAGTACAACTCTCGTCGCACGCGGTCTATTGATTTTAGCAGGTGGAGTGGTGGGGTAGTGGTTAGCGCACTGAATTTTATTCCGGCCACGTCTAACATCGTCAGTGGTGAATTATATCTCAACCAGCCCTGCCCACCCCCGTCTCATCGCCAACCTGCACTGACCAACGCGGTGAGGTATCGTCAAACAGTACCTCGACACGGACTTGGGGAGGCCTCCATCCAACAATGGATTGACAAGGGGTAGCAGCACACATTGCCCGCTGATTTGACCAGGTCCCCCTTGTGAAACGTGCGTTGTCTCAGTGGGCTGCAACCTTTTACTCTGACAGATTGATCGATGGAAAACAAATCAAGATATAAATATGGACTGCCCCAGGGTCCTTCTTGAGGTATTTGGCCAGCTTCATATCGTATTTTTATCTCACTTTATCTCCTGGGTATATTTCAATTGCGCTATCGGTGTCATACCTTGAGAAGGTAGACATTTCAATTCGGGAATTGTCTGCGACAGAATCGCAGCCGAAGGAGCAACGTGGCATGGAGACGGAGCGATGAGATCAGTTTATGCGGAATATTGAGATGGTTTGTGACATTGCACTTGGTGAATGGGATAACGTACAGAAGTGGGTATATAATACCCAATGATAAAGATCATTATGACGGTACCGGTATTGGTGGTGGTTGTGATAATGATGATAATGATGGTGGTCGTGGTGATGATGATTGCAATGGTTGTGGTGGCGGTAGTGGTGATTATCATAACAGTGTACTGATAATGATAAATTAATCTATGGCACAAAGCACTCACCAAACGCGACGAGGAGGTAATTGCCATCCCTCTCCAGCGCTTCGGAGAAGTTGTCTTGCGAGAGGATGAGGACGCCCTCCACCTCGGGGACGTGGGCCTTCACGTTCGCTGCGGCCGCCAGCAGCAGCAGGAGCAGCGACGCGAGTGACTGAGGCGGTCATCTCTCAGTCTCTCTCTCTCTCTCTGCAAGGGAAGGCTGCTGTCGCGAGTCTCGTGGTCGATCGATCCTCCCGGTGCCTCCTGGTGCCGCAGGTGAAGGGTGACGTGGGCGAAGCGCGCGGAATAAATACTCATGGCCGGGCCGTTGTTTGCTCACCTTGGGGCTTCGTGGTGAGACGCCACTGGCTGAGAGGGGGCAATTCACGAAACCTGGGTATGGTGACACGTGTCAGCAGCGGCAGCAGCAGCCCAGTGTTTGTTTTAATATGTTCTCGAATTGTTTAGCGACAAGGGCCTGGGAACTTGCGCTGCATGGGCTTTCCGTTGAGGTGTGTGAGCGTGCACATCAAAATGTATGTGGGCATAAAACGAATGTCTCTTATTTACACAGAAAAAGCCTCCGAGGCTCAAGACTTTTTGTCCAATTTCCCATTCTTTTTTTGCCTTTTCTCCACAATTCAAATATTTATATCGGTATGGTGTCATCAGATGAAGAAAATTGTATTGCACATTTTGCAGCTTTGTTTAAACGTGCATTTAGAGTATTTGGCTGCTATAAATGTCCACAAGATAAGCCACTTGGTTGAGCTATGTAGCTCAGTGGGATTTACCTTTTGAAATAAAAAATGGTTTATAGTTCAAATGTATAGCCAGCGGCACACCATCCTGTGTCAGTTAACAGCCCAAGAATGATGTCACAGAACTACTTCTGAGGTATCTTCAATCGGAATCTTTATCCATACTAGAGGCAGTTCAGGTCACACAAAGGTCTGAGAACTGGAATCTGGCCAAGTCAAGTGTAAAAAATTTATTAAATTATGGGGTTTTTGTTGAGTGCTGTCATTGATGGCCAGGCTATAATCATGAACTCACCACACTTGAGAACCCCGTATAATCACGGGCGGCTGAAGCCTGGGGTTTTAACTCAGGATCTCAGTGGTGCCCGATCAATGTTGAACCAACGTTGGTCTAACGGTTACAACCACAATGGCAACACTGGCTGGATGTTGGCATGTTCACTGGGCTGCGCGATGTTGGGTGAGAGAGGCTCATTGTGTTGATTGTGGATATAGATCTGCAGTGTCATCTTCAGGGCTTTCCCCTGAAACCGTTTCACGTCCCGCGAACTCAATAATAACGCAATAAGGTAGTCTCACAAAATCACAATTTACTGCCCTCGGTCGATCCACCATTGGATGAAGGCCTCCACACGCCGCGTCGGTCGTGTGCTGTTGTTGGCCAGACTTCTCCACGCCGGTCAGTGCAGGTTGGTGAAGTCATCGCTAGCCACTGACTTTATGATGGCTGGGAGTGGAAATCAGACTTCAGGGTTTATAGAGCAGTGCGCTAACCACTCTGCCACTCTTCCTACCCACCCTCTACTCCCCTCACCTAATTCCGATATAATTGGTGACAAAGTTAATTTGTTATCAATATCTTTAAAAAAACTAGTAAATTTCCCAGGTAAATAACAGAATATTGTGAAATTATGTTTTTGTTTACTATCAGGTAAAGCATTTAATAATGTTTAAAAATATTTTCAATATTAGCGTGATGTTAAAAACTTACCGGTGTATTTACAGGAAAGAAGGGAGCTGCCTCTTGCATTAAGCATTGCGGGGGAGCGGTGGCACAGTGGTTAGCGTTCTGCGCGACGAACCTGGCGACCAGAGATCGACTCCCAGCCACGGGCATCATCAGTGGCGAGGAGCGACATTCAAACCGATCGTGGCCCCCTGCACGCACCCGCCACTGTGATTAAGTTATTAAGTATGGTCAAACAAACACGGAGACCACTTCATCCAGCAGTGGTTTCACAAAGGGCTGTGAAATGTTCTTTAACTTAATTGCCTTGCCGTGGTGAAGTGCCGTGGCAATGCACCTGCAGTGCTGGCATTGTGCTGAAGCCTTAGTCTGAGGCTGTTATTTGACTTAAATCCATTTCCCCCAAAACTGACAGCTCAGTGGCCCTGCCTGCAGGCGTAGTTGTGGCACAGGAATGTGGAAGATGAACGTTTAAACACAGCGTCTAAAGTTCTCCCAGTCAAGGATGTTTTTGTCTTCTTTTTTCCATACTTTTTATTTTTACCTTTCTGTTCACTTTGTTTGATGTAAGGGGGACTTGTCAGGGAGACACGTGCGTGTCGGTGTGTGTGTGTCGGTAGGTGTGTGCAGTAAAAAATAACAAAAATACCCAGCTTCAGTCCGAGATAGAGCGCTTGGTGGAAAGACTAGAAGTTTCAACAATGAACTTCTGAACTGTATATTGCCAAATGGGCAGAAGGTTTCTAGACAGTGGCTACTGTACTCAACAGGTTGTGTGCACTGTTTTGCATGCAAACTGTTCTCCAGCAAGCTCGGTGGCTTTAGTCAGGGGTTTAGCGACTGGAATCACTCTGAAAGAATAGGGGAACACGCAAAGACAAATCACGCATGCTTGCCTTGCACCAGCGGACAAAGGGCAGCGCTATAGATGCAGATCTCGTGCAGCAACTTGATGGGGAACGTAAATACCGGAGGGACATTTTGACAAGAGTTGTAGCAGTGATCAAGTTATTGGGTGAAATAGGACTTGCGTTTAGGGTAATTGATGAACGGTTTGGGTCAACCCATAACGGTTATTTCCTTAGTATCTTAGAATTGCTATCACAATTTGACCCATTCTTAGCTGAACATATTAAAAAGTTTAGCGGAAAAGGAAGAGGCACAGTGTCCTATTTGTCATCGACAATATGTGGAGATCTTGATTTGAAGCTTTCGTGACTGCAGGAATCCATACGCTTTGCTTCTTTCGGTGAAGTCACGTAGGTAGAAAAATAATAGATCACGACGTTTCGATCGCAACACAAGCAATCATCATCAAGTGGCAGAGTCAACCAAAGCACTGTGGAGAAATTACACCCACATTAGAGAAGCCTTAGGTGGTATGTGCAATGATGGTCATGAGAAAAGAGATACTCGAATTGAGGCCGCTGGACTACGTGCTAAATTGCACACCTTAGAGATGGTGTTCATGGCACATTTCTGGGACGTCATACTTGACCGGTTCCACGCTACAAGCATGCACCTATAGAAAAGTGACATTGACATCTCTGTAGCAGCACAACTTTTGTCTACGTTGAGGGATTTTGTGGCGGGACAGCGAGACCAGTTTGAGGCTTTTGAAAGGGCAGCGTGTCTCTCAGTCATATAAGCACGATCTTCAGCGATGTGACGTCACATTTCTCACCCCCCCCCCCCCCCCATCGTCACGCATCGTCACAAATGTCTGACCCCCCCCCCCCTTGGTGCGTGACGTCATTTATGGACGGCCCCTTATCTCTTGTATGCATGTATCTGGTGTGGTCAAGGTCAGCATTGGGGAGACAAAGGTGGTCCCGTGTGCATATTGCTGGTCATGTCACAATGTTTTATGTCATTCCAATCTTCAACTGGTGCTCCCTCAACATATTTGCCCCAACTGTGCGGAAGGCTAAATAGGGGATCGTTGTCTGTGTGTCTGTGTCCTGTGCGGATGTGCGGGCACACGTGTGTGTGTGTGTGGATATACGAGGTTCTCGCTAACACCACTTGCCCCAACAGTCTGTTAAGCCTATATGGGGGATCTTTGTCTTTTACGTATGTGGGGAGCGGTAGTGTTGCGGTTAGCGCGCTGCGCTACGAACCCGGCGGTGTATATATTTTCACTAGGGAGACAAAGGCGGTCAGGCGTGGTGCTGGCTACCCACCCCCTCGTGTGCAGTGCCGGCATTCAAAGGTACTACTCGCTGTTAAGGCTTTGATGGGGGGGACCTTTGTCTTGTTGAGGCAAGTGCTGTCAGCGTGCGCGCGGGAGTTAGCGCGTGTTGACCGCTCACGGTCAACACCAGTGGTGAATATCTGAACCGATCTCGAACCTCCCTTAGGTCAACTCAGCCTTAAATTAGTATCTGGTGCGGTGTGTAACTATGAGCAATGGCGAGGCAAAGGTGCGGTGTTTAACCACACCACCCCATATTGTGCCTTGTTGGCCTTCAAAGATGCTCACTTAATGCACCTGCCCCAAATAGCCTGTTAAGAGGCTGTAGGGGAATCCTTGTCCTTTGTGTTGGTGCACTCGTGTGCACGTGCGTGCCGCAGGTATGGGGGTCACACTGAACCCCCAACAAGGTCGAATGGTTTTAAACCCCAGGGAGTGGCATTTAAAGCATTCCCAGCTCCGACAGAGGCTGCAGTTGGCTGAGACCCTGGACGGTGTGAGTCGAGCCATAAGCATGGATACGGCGACACGTACTTTATTGTTGTATGGACACCTCTCAGAATTTCTAACCCGTCTCAGTTCGACGAAATAGCCGAAGATGTGAAGTCCACGTGGAATATTTTCTCTTTTAAAAAAAATGATTCGAGCTTTGATTGAGTCTTCCTCCTCTTCTCTTTTCCTGTAAGGTTGGTCGAATATTCAGTAAAATATCTGGATATTAAGTTAAATATCTACGATATCAAGTTAAATATCTCGGATATTAAGTTAAATATCTACGATATCAAGTTAAATATCTCGGATATTAAGTTAAATCTCTAGGATATCAAGTGAAATATCGAGGTTGCACGCGTAGATTCAGTCATCGAAAATCAAGAAATAAAAAACCGCCACACACTTGTCAACAACAACTGCCTTAAAATAAGAATATACAGCTACAGTATCATCGGCAACGTTTAAGGCAATGGACCTTTTTGTGCTTAGAAAACATGTTTTATGTTCACTGTGCCTGTGCACCACTGCCTGCACAGCTCAATCTTAAATTGAATCATCTTAGTAATGTCCACACATCAAGATGAATATGAGAGGCTCCTGTACGAGTTTAGTTTATTTGTGTTTGCCAGACTGGGTGGTGTTGTGCTAAACCCTTTGTGAAGGTGACGACCCCAGGGAGTGAGAGGCAGGAGGTGGGCGGGGTCAAAGCGGCATCGAGAACAGTGGGACACTGGGAAGTAAAAATGCAGCGGTGATCAATTTGAAGATGTGAATGGACAGCAACAGCAGCAGCAGCATCGTAACACTTGGACAGAGACATTCAGACGACTGAGGTGCGAATCCACAAACACGATGAA